AACTTTTGTGGCGTCCCACTATCAGTAGATATGCATGCATAGTACCTAATGCATGGGACCCACTATTAGTATTGTGACTAAAATATTGATATTGTTTATGGTCGCCATTGACCGTATATTGTTTTAATTTTAACTCTGTGACATTTTAGGAGGTTACACTTTTCATGGACAAGTAGATTATAAGTTTTGCCATTGAATTGAACACGAATTTAACTCGTCGAGTACCGGTTTTATAGACACAATTAAAGAACAATAGGTCGCGGTCACCGGTGACCGCTTGGTGTTTGACAGTTTAATTTAAAAGTCTACCTCTAAATTACTCGGCACTCAACGCCAAACTTTAAAATCCTTGACAAAGCTCACAGCAACTCAATCCGATCCAGTGTTAGAGTAAATCAAACATGTTTGTGTAATTAATCTCACTAGTTCACGAGTCTAAGCAAATGGAAGTCTCAAAGTGGAAATCAAAGAAAAGTTTCATAGTAGGGGAGGCAGGCAGGGCCAGATGCGATGTAGAATGGTCGCGGCGCGCCCGGCTAGCCCGCCACGGTCATAAAACTTTTTAAATTGCTTTCTTTTTACATTTAAATAAATGGTTGTTGTAAATAATTCACGGGTTCCTTTATTTTCTTTCTCTGTAGCGGATCTGTGTGCTGAGTTTATATTTATCAGGCGTTATTGTACTTGTAAAATATATCTTCCTATATCTTTGTTCTCCGGTAAATAAGAAAGTATTTAGGCAACATTTTTGGCACGCGCATATAACGTTATTAATTGTACAGTTTAAGTTTGGTATCTTAGGAAAAATAAAATTGTTCACCAACTTCACCAAGTAACCGATTATTTTATAAAGATTATCTGCCTTAATTTCAAATGCATAAGCATCAAAGGCTGCCAGTTTCGGATTCGCCCCTGTGTGTCCCTAGTTTCAGGTAGGGGGCGGAACTCTTCACGTTTGAACTTCGCAATTTCTCGGCTCGCACCGAAGCCTCCTTTCTTCAAACTCCACGAGTATGTAATCCGTTTCGAGCTCGTGACCCCGTTTCACGTATCGCTCAAATTCAAACTTTTCCGACAAAATCACGGACGAGATTTTTTGCGATATTGGCGAGTATTTTTTGAAGATGTAACATTTACTTACGTAGCTACCTAGTACCTGTACATACACATTTATATTTTAAGTAAACTGCACGGCTGGCGCGGTGGTTGGGCAACTGACTGCCGTGCAACGTGTCGCGGGTTCGATTCCTGCACGGAACAACTCTATGTGTGATCCACAGATTGTTGTTCCGGGTCTGGGTGTCATTTGTATGTGAACTTGTATATTTGTAAACGCACCCGACACAGGAGAAAATCATAGTTTGGGGCAACTTTTTTAAAAAACTAACACAAACAAACAAATAAGACATGTATTGGCTGTAGGTACGTAGGTATAATAACACAGTATTTTTGTATAATAAATTATATAACTACTCAAACAGAGTAAATTTTTTTATGAAGATTTATAAAGCATAACATAGTGAATTACAGATAATGCTCAAAAACTAATGTCTGCTACGTACGGACGGTCTACGAACTTGCTACGGCATGCGGCACTACAAACCAAAAGTATATTTATTGCCAATGGCAGAACTTATCAATATTTCCCACTGCACACTCCAAACTACCAATGTTATAGAGTTCTTCAGGTCAAGATATATTGGCTCAGCACAATAGCCATATAATTAGTTGGGCCCATTCACTCTACGTCAGTACTGGGTGAATGAATAGCCGTAACCGCACGTTGATACCGGAACGAGGCAGACGCTTGGCTTGAAAATAGACGTACACGCCAAATAGTTGGTTTGTACAAAAAGTATATAAGATTCGAAATATTAGTAATTTAGGTACCTACTTAGGTAGTTTGATTAGTCTTTGTTTTTCGAAATGCTTAATTAAGATGTTGGATGAGGAAATAATAGTTTACCGACATCTACGAATTAACTTTTAAACTTAGGGCTGATTTTTCAGTCATCAGATAATATTTTTAACTGTAGAATATAATTAAGGATTAGGCATTAGGATTGCATAAACCTCTGTAACTGAGATAACATTGTTTGTTTACTCATTCTTATTCTACCCACAAATTCCACACGTAATTCCAAGTACGTAAGTACAAATCTTGAGCTTCAATTACCTTCAGTTTTAGTATCATTTAATTTATTTTAGCCATTAGTTTCGCTTTACTATCATAATATGGATGTTTATTTGAAAAATGTCAAAACGAAAGCTACAATCGTTATCATTAGTACGTGAAAAACTGAAGTTTATGAAAGTGGGAAAACACGCGAAGAAGTTTGTGCCGAATTTAATGTGCCATATATATGCCGTATAACTGAAATAACCTGTATTCTCACCTCTATTAATGGAACCCTCTGTAAATGAGACAGATATTTATTTATGTGTACCTGTATATCTGAGACACTGGGTAAGTGGAATACCTCTATAAGTGCAACGACATCGCTGGTCCCTTGATGTTTCACTTAACCAGGTTTCACTGTAATAAAAGCGAACACATTGTCTCTGGAACTTCGTCAGCTCGTTACATGGGGCCACTTACATTATCTATTACTTTCATAACAGAATCTAAAAGTAAACAAAGTTAATGCATCGTAGTCTTTGGTTATAACCTAATCTATGGCGAACGTCTTCCGTTTACAAGAGCTGGTAAATTAATCTTGACAGTTAAGGAAAGATTACCAAATGAAATAACATTATATTTAAATGCTCTCGCTATTTCTAGGGCTCGTTGTTAAAATACGACCTGTAGTCCTAATGCGGAGTGTGGACTTTACGCCCGATAATGACTTACACGTATTACCGACACTGCAGACATATTAACAAAAATTAATTAGCAATCAATTTAAGTTTTTTTTCATTCTCATGCATTTTTTTATTTGTTTAGTATAACATAACATAACATCACGCCTTTAATTCCCGAAGGGGTAGGCAGAGGTGTACATTATGCCACTGTACAATGTAACACCCACTTTTCACTATTTATGTTATGAGTCCCATGTAGATATGAGCGCCGCGCCGGCGCGCCGCCGCCGCCGCGCTTTACCACCCCGCCGCCGCCGCCGAAGGAAGCGGACGGCGCGCCGGCCGGCTGGCAAAACTCAGTTCGCTCCCGCTGTTCGCTACACCCGCGCGTATTATTTGTTATAAAATAAGTACAAAATATCGACAGAAGAGATAGATGTTACAAAAACTAAAATAAGGGAGCTGTCCGTAACTGTTTTAAATAAAATATCCACCAACAAACACAGTTTTTGTTGGAATTATTTCGGTCAGTTAATTGTGAACGTTGGAGGAAAACAATAGTGGAAATGATGAGTTCAGATTCGCAAACTACGATCAATTTAGCGTTGGTTTTCAAGTCAGAAATAAGGAGAATACTAGATGAATGTGATGACAATGAGCCGGCACTGATAACAATGTTAAAAAATAACATGTCCCTTAAATTAGATTACCGCTTTCCTTGCACAGACCTGATTATAGCTGCCACGTTATTAGATTGCAGATTCCAATCTATCAAAGATATTGACGTTTACATGGAACAACACCAAACCACCAAGGTTACATTTTTATCTACTTATGCAAAAACTACTTTGAAAAATGGAGATATTGTCCAGGAGCATATAATACACGATGCAACTCCTGGACCCAGTACTTCGAAACCATCTTCATCTTTCTTCATGAACCTAGCAAAAAGACACAGCACTTCTGTCAACTCTGCTGACATAGACAGCATAGTCGAAACCGAGTGCTGGAAATATTTTAGCACAGCTACGCCCGCAGATCTTCAGGCCTATAAAGATAATGTACTTGAATATTGAAAGAAATCATTTCCGTGGTTGTCAAGTTTGGCGCGTGCAGTACTATTCGTCCCAGCGACAAGTACCCCAAGCGAAAGAGTATTTTCCGTCGCTGGACAATTGATAACGGCTAAAAGATCCCGACTAAATCCTTTGAGAGTAAATCGTATTATATTAATTCATGACAATTACACCCAGTGCAAAGCTGATATTTAGTTTGCTTGTTTGATTACTCGATGCATAATTTTCGTTAAACTTTTTGTTTCGTTTTTCTTATCTATTATTTTGCTACATATTGTAAGTGTGGGCTCTATGATTAAGTTGTAATTATGTGTACCTACAACTACTGTAGTGTACCTGGACTCAATTGCCAAAAAAGCTTATCAATAGCTTAGCTTGTGTAGCTTCTTAGGTTATATACCTCTGTAATGTTTTATTATTATTTAAATTTGTTGGTATTGTTGATTATTTGAACTTGCAAATGTTATTAGAATAAGTAGTTAATTATTTCGTCAAAAAAGTTTAATAGATATAACAAAATATTGATCTCTTTGTTTCTTGTCTCAAAAATGTTTAATTCACTGTGATATAATTAAAAGCAATAAGTAACAGAAAACAGTGGCATTTCATTTCTTCCCTCGCACTAGATTCACTGCCATGGTCGCGCCGCCGACTGCGCCGCCGCCGCCGACTGTTTTTAGTCGGCGCGCCGCCGCCGACTTATCAAATACCGACGCTCATATCTAGTCCCATGTAATAGGGGGTGAGCCTATTGCCATATACCGGGCACAATTCCAGACTCCGTGCTACTACTGAGAATTTTTTTAAAACCCAGTAATACTTTGCCCGACCCGGGAATCGAACCCGAGACCCCTTGCCCGGCAGTCGCACTTACGACCACTCGGCCAACGAGGCAGTTTAGTTGTTAAGTATAAATATATTTTAATTATTACTTCAACCATAACACGCAGACCAACTCCTTAAGAAAACACTATACATTTAAGAAATAACTTTATTAAAAAATTAATTACACATAATTCGCAGTCAAATCATTATGATCCTTGCGTACAACAGGCACACTGGAACACTTACAACTAAGAGGTACGGTACAATAAGGTGGTAATTTCGCTGGCAATGTTGAGTTTACATAAACGTGATCTTCGTTCGCACTTGGTTTACTTGCCACACATTGAGATTTTCGTATTCCTCGATGCAAGCGTCCACCTGTTGGGAAAGGGAGAATATATTTAGTTTGTTTCGCTATATTAAGTTTTTATTTGAATGATAAGTAATAAAGTATATAATGTATATGTGAAGGAACGGATTGCACGGTTGGCACGATGAATGGGCAACCGGCAGTCGCGCAACGTGTAGCGGGCTCGATTCCCGCACACAGCAACTATTTGTGTGATTCACAAATTGTTGTTTCAGTTCTGGGTGTCATGAACCTGTATGTTTTTAAACGCATCCGACACAGGAGAAAATCCTAGTATAGCAACGTTTTAAAAAAAAACAAAACGTCCAGGGCTGTTAACTTACAAAACATTCATTGAAAACGCGCGTTAGTAAAATAAGACAGACCAAATTCATTAACAAACTGATTTAAAAATATCTCAAAGCAGAATCTCTGATTACTTGAATTTTTTATTTATTTCAGCCGTAAAACAAAACATCCTATCCCAATTACTGTTTAATATAATTATGTATAACTAGCTACTTCCGCGCGGTTTTACTCGCTCTGCTTGGCGCCTATTAATCGTAGCGTGATGTTTTATAGCCTTCCTCGATAAATGGGCTATCCAACACAGAAAGAATTTTTCAAATCGGACCCGTAGTTTCGGAGATTAGCGCGTTCAAACAAACAAACAAACTCTTCCGGTTTATATAATAGTATATAGTATAAGAAGTATAAGATTAGTACCTAATATTCCGTACCTAAAAACCTTAAATTCTGAATAGTAAACTTACTTGATCGGGTTTGAATCCCTTGTCGACACAGCGCTCGATGACGTCAGCTATCTTAACAGTTTGGTTCGATCCTGCCAGGTCGCGCACGATCGCGAAGATGCGGTCGGTCGAACTTATACCCCTGTGGATACAAATATTCAATATTAGTATTAACTAAAAGATGGAAATTAGCCTTCCAGCAACTTCACTCTCACGGCGAGGCACAATACAATACAATGCAAGAGTTTTTCACGTCAGTTTTCTGTGAGGTCGTGGTATCACTCCGGTCGAGCGTGGCTCTTCCGCACTAAAATCTTAAACTACGCAAATAGTTGCCGAAAATGTATTTACCTTTGCACGTTCTCGTCTACAGGCGCCAGAGACTGTTTCGACATTTCAACCAGACGGATAGCTTCCGACACATCCTCTTTTTCCACTACATCTGACAACCTACAAACAAAACAAGATATCTTTATTAGTCAATGCCTAAAAGCCTAAAAGTAAAGTGGTGATGAAATAAATAAAAACATAGTAAAAATCTACATACACATTCTATAAGAAAAAAATTAAGTATTATATCTGTGATTCATTTCAAAATTCTGATAACTAGACCATTAATATATACCCATAACAAAATACTCTTCATACCTGAGTCTAGCCAGTGCGGTGGACAGTCGTAGTATGGCGAGCAGATTCCTGGCCGACGTGAAGGTGACGTCGCGCGCGTTGCGGGCCTCGCGACGGAGCTCCACGTATGACGCTGCAAGCATACATGTACGTTATACGAGATGGACTGGCAAGAGTTCATGGTTATGTGATATAATAGGTAAACATTTATATACTGATCAATTTCACCTACTCTTTGCAGTTCACCACCCAAAAGCGTATTCTTTAAATAACCAACAATTGTGTGTGTGATCCACATATTGTTGTTCCGGGTCTGAATGTGATGTGTGTGTGAAATTGTATCTAAGTAAAACACCACAAACAGGAGAAATTACTAGTGTCGGCCGTTTAAAAAAGAAACTTCTGGACATCTTTGCCTTTAGTTTTCTACCACAATACCAATGATATACAGAATCCTTATCCTTACTTATACAGTGAAACCTGATTAAGTGAAACATCAAGGGACCTGCATTGTTGTTTCACTTATAGAGGTATTCCACTTACCCAGTGTCTCAGATATACAGGTATAAATAAATATCTGTCTCATTTACAGAGGGTTCCATTAATAGAGGTGGACTTGGAATTACGTGCGCAATTTGTGGGTAGAATAAGAATGAGTAAACAAACAATGGTATCTCAGTTACAGAGGTTTATGCATATAAAATTTACTCGCTGTCTCAGTTATAGAGGTAACTATGATGATAAATCGAAAGAACAAATCCCTGATATAGAGGTTTACCTCGTCCCACTAACAGAGGTAATTCAGTGCCAAAGTGTTGGGACCTCAGCATGAGTTCCAGTTATGGAGGTTTCTCACTTATCCAGGTCCCACTTAACCAAGTTGCACTGTATTATAAATCGGAAAGTGAGTTTGTTTGTTTGTTCCGCCTTCACGCCGTAACTACTAGACCGATTGCTTTGAAATTTTGCAGACGTAAAGTTAGAAGTCTGGATTAAATAATAGGGTATTTTTTATCCCGGAAAAAATTGATATTTCCATATCATCCATCATTCATATTGGTATAGATGGCGCTGTATGTCATTTAAAACCAGTCAACGAATTACCTACTTATTGGAAAAATCTAAATAGCGTGATATAACCGAATTCCACGCGAGCAAAAAGCTTTTTGTTTGTTTGCCTGTCTTAAACGGCAGAATGGAGGTACTAATTAACGTAATTTTTTAAGTGAAGGTAGTTGAACGGATGGATAGTCACATAGGCTACTTTTTATCCTTTTGTGACGCGAGCGAAGCCGCGGGTAAAAGCTAATAATGTATAATATGGAGGTGTTACTAACAGACTATGTAGTCGGCGAGGTGCGTGGGCACGGTGGGGTTCTTCCTCTTGGTGAGCGCGACGTACCGCCGCACGAGGCGCATGGGCAGCGCGCGCACCGCGCCCGGCGGCTGGGCCGAGTGCTGGTGTACGTACGCTATATGCTTCGCTAGCTCCAAGTCCTTCTCGCTAAGTGACAATGAGAGTAATAAGAATTACTTCATAATTCATGACAAATTATGGAATACTAATAGACATCAGAATGATTCAAATATTAAATAGGTATTTTCTAAATTAATTTAGAACAGACTTCAGTTAATTTTAAAGTGACTCTTTAAACATATGTGTGTAGTATTCTAGTCTAGTGTCCATTTATATCGATAGAAATGAAAAGGTAACTAATTAAAAATGTGAATTTGTATCTTATGCATTTGTATACTATAGACTGTATGACAAATTATTTAGCCAGTCACAAATGATAGTTATTATTGTTATTTAAACCCCATTTTTATTTCTCTCTTCTTTCTTAGTGGGTTATGGAGATACTATCATCTAATAGTAATTGATTGTGAAAAATACTTAATACAGTCCTTTCATTAACTAAAAAAATCTAGGAGAAGGAACATGGCAAGTTTTACATACCGGTTAGGCTTATCCTGTATGAGCCACAAGAGGTCAAATCTGGAGAGTAGTGCAGCAGGCAGCTGAATGTTCTGTTCTATGGTCCGCTTGGGGTTGTAGCGGCCGTACGCGGGGTTGGCCGCCGCCAGGATCGACACGCGCGCGTTCAGGCACGTCATTATACCCGCCTGGTACACACACATTACTACCTTATACACATCAATTACATGCAGGGCATACTTATTCTGTATTGGCTCAATGACCTAAACTTTTTTTAAGGCGGGAATATAATGATCCCCGGTAACCCGTTAGGTTCTCAGCAACTCAATGAACTAAACTGGAATCTTGGCATCTGATAGGTAGATTTCGCCATTTATCTTGGCAATTTCTCGGAAGATATTGTTTACTTGATTGCTTTTTTTTAGAGATTTTCGATATTTCATAAAACTGTACTATTGGCGATTTTATTGAAAAATACTTAAACTACTATAGATCTCATGTTTTGGCAACTTAGCTAATAAGCAGATTGAATGACGTTGGGTCTTATGATACTAACATACCTTGGCAATGCTGATGGTCTGTTGTTCCATGACCTCGTGTATGGCGGTTCGATCGTTCTCCGCCATCTTGTCAAATTCGTCGATGCAGCACACGCCCTGGTCAGCCAATACTAGTGCACCACCCTCTAACATCATCTCACCAGTGAATGGGTCCTAAAATTATACATTATCCTTAGAAACAGACTCGATGCAGATGAATGGAGTAAAAATGGCATGCTAGAACCATATTGATTGGTATTTGGTGAGTAATTTGGTGTCGATAGGAGACAGGTATGATAGCGTTCAGGAAAATGCTCCTCTCTAATTACACCTCTAATTGGATATTTTGGTTTTCCTGACTAGTGCTTGCCTGATTATTGGTGTGCGACTATTCGCTTTCGAGTGGCAGAACTGCTTGATTGCCCATATACATATACGACAAAATAGAAAACACATTGCATGTTGCGTTTAGGCACACGACGGGATAATGTATAGTCTGGGCATTCTATGTTAGAATATTATGAAGTATTGATTATTGATCAAAAATATACTATTTTCGAAAGTCAGCCTTCTACAATATTTCCTGAATACAATAAGCATGATATTACGTATGTAAGGACATCGTACCTTCATAACAGCGGCAGTGAGTCCGACCCCGGAGGAGCCCCGACCCGTGGTGTACTGAGAGCGCGGCGCGAGGCGGTCGATGTAGTTCAACAACTGAGACTTCGCCACTCCAGGGTCACCCATCAGGCATATGTTTATGTTGCCACGGATCTTCATACCGTTTGGACGTCTATACGATACAAAAGAACACTCTTAATGACTTGTTGTGTTTTCTCCTGACTTTTTAGTCTTTTGATTTAACATTATTCCAAACAATTGAGTTAAAACGAGTAATAGTCGACAAAGGCACGAAAAAACCCCCTTTATTCAACGGGGTAGGATAAACATAACTGGTGAATTGTGATTACAAAATCATACATTATACAGATACTGTTCACCCAATGATCTTGACTAGAAGGGCTCCAGTTACAAATAGATGCGCTATTGAGTAACAAAACTTACTTATCAACACCTCCTACTAGTAGCAACAACAGTGCCTTCTTAACGTCTTCATGTCCGTATATCTCTGGCGCCAGACTGCGCGCCATGCGTGAGTACAGGTCCTCATCCGCGAGCTCTGCCAATTCCTCCTCCGTCAGGGCCTCAGCCATCTCACTCTCGTCTGACTGGTTCAGGCAGTGCACTGACTACACAGATGTTGTAAAAAAGTGAAGTTTATTTATAAATATTATTTAATTATTATTATATTTATATGAAGTTGTATGAAATGAAATACATTTTATAATTCATTACAGAAATAAGAATATTCGCATATAACCACCACTTTGTAACAGACAACCCACTTCCAAACCTTGGGGAAACAGCCTGATATGGAAATAGTGAAGCATCATTATTAACTTACATGGGCCTCCAAGTAAGTGTCAGAGAGAAGTCCTTGCACAACTTGTCTGAAGCCAGAAGTGAGCAGTGGTAGGAAGACTCCAGTGACTGCCACATGGTCTCCAGGCTGGGCGCGGCGCGTCGTCTCTCCGCGACAGTACACAGACAACTGACGCGGAATGTGACCCACTGGCACTTGGTCAGACTAGAACAAATTGTTATATCAATAAATAATTATAATTCTACTAAAATCTGTAATCAAAAGTGTGATTCGAAAAAGTCTACTTATACTATGAATTTATCTGCATATACTTATACATACATATCTAAGTGAAAGAAAGAAGATGATCATCAATCGATGATTCTACAAAGTATTGAATTGTTCAGACGTCATTTTATTATTCACAAGTCATACTTGCATTATCTTAGTGATACATTTTCAATACAATGCACAACAGGTACACATAATTGAACCTTAAAACTACCAACTCAACAATAACATAAAAGTTATTCAATACATACATGTTCCTGTATCTTAAGTTCCTGGAACTTCTGGAAGCGTGAGCCTCTGGTCTGCAGGTGTAGTTGTCCGGCCGTCTTGTTGAGGCGGCAGTCGTCGGCCGTGCAGGCGGGCGGCGGCGTGAACTGCAGGCCGCGCACCGGCTGGTACGTCTCCGCGCCGCACGCCGCGCACGAGTACGTCGCCACCACCAGCAGGGGCTTCACGTCCGTGCACCGCGTCACTATGCCTGCGACATACCAACGATTATGATTAGCTTTTAATACCATTGGCAGAACCGCCAGGCATCAGTATGACGTGGAGAGAGGTAAAGCGTGAAACTCGGGATCAATCGTGATTGTAAGACTTGTAGACTCCCTCTATGCCATCTAGGGGACATAAAAGTCAAATAAGTGTAGAAATACTATATATGACACAAATTGTACTAAATAATAATCAGGTTTTTGACAGATACATATTGCTATATATTTAGAATTTTCTGGGGCAAAAACTTAATATAGATTGCAGTTGACTGGACGGTTGCTGCGGTGGCTGGGCAACGGGCTGCCGCGCAACGTGTCGCAGGTTCGATTCCCACATGGAACAACTCTTTGTGTAATCCACAAATTGTTGTTTTGTATATAAGTTTGTAAATGCACCCACGACACAGGAGAAAACCCTAATGAGGGGCAATGTTTATTAAAAAAAAAAGGTAATATCTTGTTGGTTTTTTTTTACAGTAATAGGGTTTGTTGATTTGTTGTGTTTTTCTTATAAGAATCATGCATTACTAGTCTAGTGTAAGTAAACTGCAACAAATAGTCATACCTCTAATAGTGACCAGTTTGCCAATGTGCTCAGCCTTCACCTCTCTGATTGGCAGGGATTTTGATGAGGACAGGTCCTTGAAGTACACCTCACTGAGAGATAAATATATTTTTTATAAAGATTATAATATTATATTATGCTTCCAAAACTAGCATTACACAATCATTAACATTATTTTTTGCACTAGAAAGATGTAATCATTATTCATTAGTCAATGCATCATTATCCATATATCATTCTGTAGGAAAAAGAAAACATTTTCTTATTAAGATATATACTTACAATCTCCTAATGAGTTCCGGAGGGTATCTGTTGCGGGGATCCCTCATCTCTCCAGGGATCCTGTGGTTCCTGGCCTCCAGCATAATTCTGTGCTCTATGTACACATCCAGTGCATCTTTGGCAATCACCTGCAGAGTTTATGTGCACATTTAAAAAAATAATATATAAATAGGTAAGACTCTTATATACTTGGAAAAAGTTAGATTTATTAATTTTATAGTTAATGTAGTGGTATCTACATTAATAACGAGCATCCAATACATTATGTGAATCTCTTTGATAGCTAAATGGGATTGTGAATGGGTCACCTCTCTGTGCTTGAAGTCTGGAAGCATCTCATACACAACATCTGACACCATGGTGGTGTACCGCCGCGTGTTCTGCCGCACTGCCTCCGCCAGCTCCTCGTTAGCATCGTGTAAATCATCCAAGTCCACCACAAATGCATTCTGAAATTTCATACTACATGTTGAAAATGTATTTTCTTAACTGATCAGTTTTGTGAGCTCAACTACAGACTTAGAATAGATAAAATCATGTCAGTTGGCGTCCTCAGGGGGACTTAAGAAGGTAGGTACTTATTGGAAAGTATTTTCGTGTGTAATAATAAGAATCAAAGAACATCTGCTACTTACTTGTTCTCTGTGTGCAACCTTGGTGAGTTGATCTGAGTATTTGAACTGTTTATTCCCTTCATCATCAGTTTGACAAAAATCTATGAAGAAGTTCTTAAAAGATTCTGAAATAGAACACCGTTGTTTGGTTGTTATTTTAGGTTAGATTTGGCTGCAAACAAAATAAATAAACCCGATATTTTAATACCTTTATCGGCTGCATAGTCACGCATAGCCATTTTTAGTTTTTGATAAAAATATAACCAAAACAAAACAATTAATTACAAGTTTTCCCAGTTGTTTTGTAAAACGCAACAAATAACCGCAGTACTCAGCTTGTTTGTTTGACAGTTTGATATAATTGGCGCGAAATGAAACGGAAACATTCGTTAAGAGTAGAGATGTCCCTAACTGAACCAGTACTAAGCTCAAGTTCCATAGACAATACTTAGTTTGCTTACTTTTGCCAAAATGCCAAAGGTTTGCCAATCCCAACACTATTTTAATTTTTTTAATATTTCTGATTCCCGCCAAATCAAATGTCAATAAAACAAAAGTAATAAGTTTTGCTGACTTTTTATTGTAAAATAGATTCTGTTAATTTGTTGATGTGCGTGTAAAATTATAAAACAGTTATGGCTGACTCTTTAGGTAAAAACGAGAGTAGTGAAATCTTGATTAAATCGTGTTAGTATAAGTGAAATGTGTTATTCAATGAGATCAAATAACCTTTGTTTTAGCTGGCCAAAGAGCCAAAAGGCAGAAAGTCGACAAACACGGCCGGTTATCGGCCTTTGAAAAACTGAAACAACTGAAAGGCAAGGGTGTGAAGAACAAATATGATGTGGATGAAATGGAAAATGTTTACGACACGGTGGACGAGAGGGAATACTCCGAAAGGGTTATGCAAAGACAGGAGGACGACTGGATAGAAGACGATGGTTTGTACACGAGCTCCTGCACTACCACAGTTGCTAGATGACATTACGACTTCTACAATTGTTTATTTACTTACCAGCTTGGACAAGATTATGTTAAGTATGGAATATCATCAGGTTTACTTATTTGTTTCTTACAGGGACTGGCTACGTGGAAGATGGCAGGGAAATATTCGATGATGATGAAATTGAAGATACTTATGTGGCTTCTAGCAACAAGGAGTCTGGCCGGGGACAGAAAAGGAAGGCTAGAGTAGCACCACCCAGTTCCAAGGGCAATATCAGGAATCTATTAGGTTCCATGCCAACTAAGAAGAAAGAGGTATATTTGATACATTTGCAGTTCATTCTTTATTTCATGTTGTAAATATTGTAATGCAACTGTTGTACCAAAAGCTAGTATTTTTTATAAAAAGTCGGTTTCTGAATCTATTGCAATTATTACAATGCATGATACAAGAAGTAGTTTCAGTAATGTGATTGTGTAATATTATAATTGCAGGATGTAAAAATATCAGAAGACAATATTCTGTCAGATATCATGTCAGACTTGGATGGGAATGCATCTGCTGCAGTGAAACCAAAGCCAGTGGTCACCAAGACCAGTATAGTGGAATCCAGTAAAAGGGATGCACAGAACTACTTCAAAAGCCTATCTTCAGCAGCCAAGAAACCTACCACTATGCTTCTTGGCAAGGATCAGCCAGCTGTGAAGGTGGAAAATGTAAGTGAACACTTCAAAATATGGTTTACACATGATTCCTCATGTAAAGTTTAAACAATATCTCTACAAAACTGCCCCTATGATAGAATATTGACGAAAATATGAATATTATGTTGATATATCATCCTAAATTTGTTACAAAAGTAGTCTCTAAACATTGGAAATAAGGTCTATTATAATATAATAACTGCTTGCGGATTGAACAGTTAATGAATTCAACTTTTTATTTTGCAGAAAGAAAACCTTGTTTCCCCTGACAAACCAGCTGAAAAGAATCTAACTGTAAGTTCATAGGTCTACAATTAATTATTCTCACAGTTAAATTAAAATATTTAATTTTTGGTATAGAATGTAAGACATCAGAGAATCTAAGTAAACAACATAAAACTAATCCTTATTTTTCCCAACAAACAGCCCCAAAATGGTGAGACATCAAAGTCTGTGACAGACAAACCAGTGCCAAAGAAAACAGAGTGGAAAATAGATAGAGAGATCAAAGAAGAAATAGAAGACTCAGCCACACAGAACATAGAGGAGTTCCACACACAAGACCTGGACTTTGATGATGATTTTAGCAATGACACCACTCCAAAACCTGTTGAAGTAGAAATGAAGAAAGAAGTCCTGCCCAGCACAGCAGAAACTATAACTGATGTTGCTGAGGAGTTTTTAAATGAAGATTTTGAGATATTCCCAACTAAAAAGGAGTGTCCAAAGCAACTAAAGCCATTGACTAGTACCTGGACTGACCAAATGGGTGAGAACCAAGTGGCAGCCACAGTGCAAGTAGATGGGCAGCTGCCTCTACAAACAAATGAGAGTGGAGAGAAAATCCTTAAGTTCTACTGGCTTGACGCTTGGGAGGACAGGTTTGTGAAGCCAGGAGTTGTGTACTTGTTTGGTAAAGTGTATGCCAATCCATCCAACAAAAAAGCAGGTTGTGTTTCCTGTTGTCTTGTAGTTAAGAATGTTAACAGGCAAATGTTCCTGTTACCCAGGGAGTATGTAAGTATATAAAACTGCTAATATGTGCATGGTGTTATTAATATTTATTGTTTGATTGTGTGTTTAATTATTATTTTTGTAGAAACTGGATCCAGTAACACTAGAGCCAACTGATCAGGAAGTGACTATGATGGACATGTATGCTGAGTTCAACAGTGCAGTGGCCAGTGAGCTGGGCCTCAAGGAGTTCAAGTCACGGAAGGTCACTAGAAGCTACTGCTTCAATTTACCAGATATACCTGCACAGTCTGACTATTTAGAAGTTAGATATTCTGTAAGTAACATTCATAGAAATAAATATTTGCTGCATTGGATTTACATAATTATTGATTACATTTTATTTTTTTTTTAAACAATTAGTATCAATACAAATATCACTTTAATACATATTGACAGGCTTCATTCCCGCCGCCTCCAAAAGACAAGAAGTACCTAACGTTCTCTCATATCTTCGGCGCTAACACGTCTTCTCTCGAGACCTTTTTACTAGAGCGTAAAATAAAGGGTCCATGTTGGCTGGAGGTGAAAATGCCGGAGCAAGTCGCAGCTAAGGTCTCGTGGTGCAAACTGGAAGCTGCCTGTGAAAAAATGGAACATATCACGGTGATCAGGAATGACACAGACTTGGAACCCCCGCCTATTGTTGTAGCTACTGTAAGTTGATTTTAACTACTCAACATACTGTGGTTATGCTAAAAAAATATGGTCTTGTGTGATAATTTTCATGGTTATTTCCAGATCAACATGAGAACAGCAATGGATCCCAAAACAAGGAAGACAAAGATCTTGATGTTGAGCTGTTTGTCACACACTAACTTTCACTTACACAAGCCTCCACCAAATCCACCATTCCAACAACATTTCTGTGGTAAATTTAATTTTTTAATCTACTTGTATCAGTAACGAAATGTTTTTTAATGTCTAATTCCTTTGTTTTTGTTTTCAGTAATGACTAAATGCAATGAAATCTGGCCCATTGATCTAAAACAGGCTCTACCTCAATATAAAGCGACAAAACTAACAAAATGCGACACAGAGCGAGAACTTCTAAACTATTTCATGGTACAATTCTGGAAGTTGGACCCAGACCTGGTTGTAGGGCATGACCTGCAAGGGTTCCAGCAAGATCTACTGATAGGCAACATCCTCGACCTACATATTCCCAACTGGTCTCGATTAGGGCGGCTCAAGAGATCTGTTGCTCCACAAAAGAAATACGCAGCAAAGGACGCGTTCCTTGGTCGCTTAGTTTGCGACATCAAAATATCTGCTATGGAGTTAATTCGAGCTAGAAGCTTCGATCTCGATACTTTATGTGTAAACGTACTAAAAATGAAAGAAGGCGAACGTGTCGAAGTAGCACTCGAAGATCTGCCTCGGTATTATGAGAACAGCAATGATCTGTTCCAACTTGTGTCTCTAAGCATGCAAGATGCATCCTACATTCTCAAAATGATGTGTGAATTGAATGTCATACCGTTAGCCTTGCAAATTACGCAAATTGCTGGTAACATCATGTCGAGAACTTTGCTTGGCGGTAGATCCGAAAGAAACGAGTTCCTACTGCTTCATGCTTTCACTGAGAAGAACTACATTGTACCTGACAAGGTATACGGGAAGAAAGCAGCAGCTGACGACGATGACGACCAGGTCGATGGCACCAATAATACATCTAAAAAGCAAGCTAAGAAAAAAGCGGCGTATTCCGGAGGACTTGTATTAGATCCGAAAAAAGGTTTCTATGATAAACTTATTCTGCTCATGGACTTCAACTCATTGTACCCGAGTATTATTCAAGAATACAATATTTGCTTCACCACCATTAAGAGGAAGACAGCCTCCTCTTCTGACGATGATGTCACCAATCTCATTTTGCCGAAAACTAACACAGACCTCGGTGTTCTGCCGACACAGATTCGCAAGCTTGTGGAGAGTAGACGAGAAGTGAAGAAACTAATGAAAACACCAGATTTATCACAAGACCAATACATGCAGTACAATATCAGACAAATGGCATTGAAGCTCACAGCTAACTCCATGTATGGTTGTCTCGGTTTCACGCACTCCAGATTTTATGCAAAACCTCTTGCAGCCTTAGTTACCATGAAAGGTCGAGAAATCCTCATGGACACAAAAGAAATCGTTCAAAAGTCTAATTACGACGTAGTTTACGGTGATACTGACAGTCTGATGATAAACACTAATTGTCTGGATTACGATAATGTTTTCAAGATTGGTGTAGATTTAAAGAAAGAGATTAACAAAAAATATCGACAAATTGAACTTGATATAGATGGTGTGTTTAGGTATCTACTTCTTTTAAAGAAAAAGAAATATGCTGCTGTGCTGGTCACCAAGAACAAGAATGGTGAGTTTGTGTTCACACATGAACATAAGGGTTTGGATATAGTTCGTCGCGATTGGTCGCAACTTGCAGCAGAAGCCGGAAAATTCATATTAAGCCAGATTTTATCAGAACAGTCTGCAGATGAGAGGCTTGAGAGCATTCAAACTCATCTTAATAAACTTAAAGACGACTTGGTTAGTGGGAAAATGCCTCTTTCAATGTTAACAATAACAAAACAACTAACAAAGAATCCCAACGAGTACGCCGACAAACACACGCAGCCTCACGTACAAGTAGCTCTAAGACTGAATATTAAAAACAGCAGGCGGTTTAAGAAGGGAGATGTTGTACCTTACATTATATGTGAAGACGGAACCGCTAACTCGGCGACTCAGAGAGCTTACCACATTGAAGAATTGAAGAATTTAGAGCATCTTAAGGTTGATTTTAATTATTATCTAGCGCATCAGTTACATCCTGTTATATCCAGAATATGTGAACCCATTGAAGGTATGGACCCGGCCCGAGTGGCCGATTGTCTTGGCCTTGACCCCTCTGGATACAGACAGATAATCAGAAGAGATAATACAAACACTGAAACCTATGAAGTAGAAAACGAACATGAGAAATACAGACAATGCAAAGATTTCGTGTTTGTGTGTATTAATGAAAGTTGTAAAACTGAGAACAGAATAAGAGAAGCAGTTGTGAAACTAGATAAAGAAAGTATAACATTTTTAGATAAATGTCAGAACGATAAATGTACTCTGAGGCCAGTGGATTACCTAGCAAGTATTCAAAACCAGTTGAGTCTCCAAATACGACAGTACCACGCTCAGTACTACGCGGGCTGGCTGTCGTGCGAGGACCCCGCGTGTGGACACCGCACTGTACGGCTGCCACAAACGTTCGCTGGTGGGTATCCACTATGCAGATCATGCGAGAAAGGCGTCATGTTCAGAGAGTACACTGAGAAGGACCTGTACTTGCAAATTAATTTCTTTTTATATTTGTTTGATATGAGCAAGAACAACAATTCAAGTAAGTAGATTTGTTTATACGATATATATTATGTACCTTTAGTAGTACATAAGAATATCTAACAATTTTTTTCTGTTTCAGAACTTCGTATAACACCACAAATCACAAATGCTTTCCAACAGCTGAAAGAAATGGTTGTAGAAGATTGGCTGGCACAATCTGCATACTCTATAATAAACCTATCGAAACTCTTCAGGTTCTTTACACTAGATCCCAAAGCGGGTAACAAGGTGAAGTCGGAACCGATTGAAATCGACATTTTACCTGAGACTGAACAAATAGATGCACTTTTAGAGATGGGCACCTATTAACATTAGTTTTAATATTTACAATCATGTTAAGTAATTAAACTGTATATATTCTAATAAAATATGCATATACATACCATATCATTTTCTTATTAAATACGGAAATACGCTCTTCTTGAAGGTTTGGAGGTCAGTCGTCGTATTTAGAATACTTAGTCTTTTCCAGGTTACAGATTATTCGACCTAAATCCTTTAAACTGTCAAACACCAAGCGGTCACCGGTGACCGCGATCTATTGTTCTTTAATTGTGTCTATAAAACCGGTACTCGACGAGTTAAGAGGTGGTAGTATCCATCATGAAAGCAGAATTAATACGGTGAAAAATCCCTGACGAGTATGTGTGGAGTAAAATTGAGTGATCGAGTGAAAAATAGTGTTATTAGAAAAAGGTGTGAATTGAAAGATGATGAAGTGACAAGGATTGAAAAGGGAATGTTACGCTGGTTTGGACATGTAGAAAGGATGGATCAAAGTAAAGTAACGAAAGAAGTATACAGAGCGGATATCCGCTCTGTATACTTCTTTCGTTACATATACATATATATAGGGCCTGAGTATAGCATGCGGCCGTCTTTAGAGGGCGCCCTAGACGGACATACATAATAAAATACTGACCAGATTGGCGATATATTAAAGGGCCCTATAATTAGAAGAGCATACATGAAAGGATTGATGAAGTGAAAGAGGTATGAAGGAATCGTAGTAATTGGCGTTCCATAGTCTCTCCATGGAAGACAGGCTTGAAGTTATGTATGTAGTATCCATTTCTGACCAATTTGATTAAGGAACCCCATATTCCAAACTTCCGTTCTCGAGATAGATATAAATTCCAGATTTTTGTCGAATGCCCCCGATTTTTTTGTTTTGTGTAATCATTTTGTTCTGCTTTTGTTATTTTTGTGTAGACTGTAGGAGATAAGTTACTTTATTATTTTAAATCATAAATTCACAAGTAACTGTAGCAACTTAGTAGACGAAGGATAATTAAAACTGAAATAAACTTGTGATAACTTTTAATTTTCTTAGTAAGATATTTTGAAACAATGGCAGTTGTTCAGCAGATGTTTGATAAAATATCTATGCCAAATAAATTATTGTTTTCGGCGACGCGGCGACTGTCGCGCTGCTACTGTCGCCGCGTCGCGGGTCGCGAAATGCTGCTCATGAATATGAGCCTCTAGCATGGCTTGAAACTAGTCGAGTTCTTCGTCAAATTATTACGTTAGTAAGCCGAAAACATAATAATTTATTTAGTATGTCTCACGAAAGTTATAATACAAAAATATCTATGCTATATCTTAGCTTTCTAATAAGCTATAACATGATAGAATATTGTTTGGATTCTCAGAAAAAACTTGAAACCAAGACGCCCAAACGAAAAACGAACTATCTGATTTGCTGGACGTTATACAATTAAACCACGTGTGGTTTAATCACGATGGTTAGGTACCTTGCGCACTACAGAAGAAGGGTCAGTGGTTGGACACTAAATATCCTAATTAGTGGATCGGAAGTTGATCACCGTGGCTAGCCAGGAGTCCAGATTTGACCTGCAGCTATTGACGTGCTGCAGAATTATTATACTAATTATTGTCTGAAAACTCACAACTGTTCGTAAATTGATTAGAGCAATTAGAATTATACTGTACGTATTGTGACATGCTGCAATAATTAATTATATCATTCACTCTTTGAGAACTACATACAAGGTATTTATCTTATGGCTTGCCTTACGGTATTTATTAGTATACGGTATTTAAGTTTAGATCATTCTGCATCGAAACAAAATAACGTCGCAATTCTGGGCAGACAAAGAAAACTACAAAGTTAAAATACGTTTTTATTAAGATAAAACTATAATATTATGGAACAAAAGTTCATCGCAGGTCTTATTTCATAATACATACATATTAATAATCACAAATACTTAGTGCTCACCTATTTAGGCAATCGCAATGGTAATCGCAGTAAAATATTCTAACGGGAATATAAATAAACAGTTTTAATAGTAGCCTCTTCCACGACCTCTCATAGGTGCTGAGAAACCGCGGCCCCGACCTCTGAAATTATGTTGATTATTGTCGTACATTCCAAACTGTTGGTTCATTGTAATAGGATTTTGTTGCCGTAAGTTGTAATTATCTTGTCCCCTGCCATTCATAAAATTATTTCTATGGACCTGGTTGTATGGTGCATTGGATCCAACGTTATCAGGTGCAGGTCCCCTGGTAGCCGAATTTCTGTTATCCATCGGGTTATTAGGGCGAGGATTCCATTGGCGTGGATTATAATGTTCAGTCGACTTGTTTCTATTGTCGTTAAAATTATGTTGCTGTTGATACTGTTGTTGCGGCCTGTATTGTTGCTGATGCTGAGGCTGACCGTGTTGTTGAAACTGTTGATTGTGTTGCTGGTTAGGAGCTAACTGATTATGTTGCTGGTTGTTGGGGTTTAAGTCATTGTGTTGCTGATTAACAGATTGCAGATTGTGTTGTTGGTTAAGTGGTCCCTGATTGTGTTGGGGACCTTGGTATTTCTGTTGATTATAATGAGGTTGGTTTTGTTGAGGTGATTGGTAGTTTTGCTGTGGAGGTGATTGATAGTTTTGCTGCTGAGGCGATTGATAGTTTTGCTGCAGAGGCTGGTGAAACTGCTGCTGCGGGCGGTGTTGCTGCAGTTGTGGCGGTCCCTGGTGTATGGGAGGACGGGACAGGTTTCCTTGTTGTTGGCTCGGGAACGGAAGCCCTGTTGCCGGTCCTTGAGCTTGTGGAGAATTAAATGAAGAAGTCACTGGTGTATTAACTGGCGCAGTTTCCATTAGTGACTTTGGAGATTCTTGGATAGCTGGTGTACATTCCGGCAGGTCCCCAAATGATCTCGGTTGTGTGTTACTGACTACTACGTTCGGAGAGCGCGACAGTGGTGCCGGTGTGGCGGCCGGGGTTGACTTCAAGCTTGCTTGTACCAATGCGAATAGGTCAGACGCCGAGGACAAGCTCTTGGTAAGATCCGCGAGAGTAGTCTCAAGTTTCACCGGTTCCTCTACAGCTGGAGACTCTGGTTTTGTTTCTTCTAATGATTTCTTTACAATCTCCATTTCCTGTCGTATTTGATCTTCCTTTACTTTCTGAGTAGCCGATTGGAATACCTGAAGGTGAAGCATATATGAATTAATCTGTCAAACACCAAGCGGTCACCGGTGACCGCGACCTATTGTTCTTTAATTGTGTCTATAAAACCGGTACTCGACGAGTTAATGACGTTAATCATTATGTAGTTCAGTATAGGGATGGAGCTAGGCAAAAAATATACCATATTCGCCTTGTTTAGTAATTTGTCTGTAATTAAGTAGTACTCTTACCTCCTCGACAGTATAGTCATCGTCGTCGCTCTCGACTATCACCGCAGGCGGCTCGGGTTGTGGCGCGGGCGGCTCTGTGACCGCGGCCTTGGGCGCGGCGGCGGCCGCATCACTCACGTACTGACGCAGGCGCTCGACGCGCTGAGGCTCCTTGGTCTCCATCTTCTTGAGATACGCTATCAGGCTGTGCTGCTCCTCCGCCGACAACTCGTTGAAGTTCTTCAGTAACGTTTCAAGGTCGGAGTCTGACAGTCCATCCATAGCGTCAGGTGTATGTGATATGCTTTGGTCCATCCTAGTTCGACAAAAATATTAATATTTATATGTAAAGCTGGTAATGTTACACAAGATCATGTCTGAAGGAGGAGAAGAAGTATAAAAAGCTATGTGTCACTTTTCAAACCTATTAGCTTTTTGGCGACGGGAATTATTTCCTAACTTTGCAAACACCTTAAAATGACAGTCAACTCACATCTTTTCGTTATCATCATACGCGGACTGCAGTAACTGCAATGCTGACGCAGTTCCACTGGGTTTCGGGGTCAATGTCTTCGCTGACTGAAGTGTTGGTTGCATGATCGATAGTGCGGTAGCTTTCTTGGCGTCTTCGGCAGCTCGTTTCTTCGCCTCCGCCATACCAACGACGGCGTCCACAAGTGCGGCAAGGTCTTCCGAAGACACGTCTGTTTTGCCCTGAGCTATCAAAGCTTCAGCCATCTGTTGTGCGATCTGAGCGCGATCTACTTCACCCACGCCAGCTACTGGAACTGCTGCAGGTTTGCTCGGTTCAACAGGTTTCTGTAAAAATATTTTATTACTAGTGGGAGTGTCTAGCATTTTTGTTTTAATTTGATTACTTTGAAATCTTTCGGTGTATTGAAAGACTAAACTAGAAATGTTGTAAGATACCTGTGCTTCCTGCTTTCGCTTGGCCCGTTTGTCCGCCTCGTGCAGCGTGGCGGCGGCGCGGACGATGGCGGCGCGGAGCGCGGCGGCGGCGGCGGGCGCGACGAGGCCGGCCTGCACGGCGCCCTTCAGCTTCTCCTTGGCAGTCTCTATCAACACGACTGCCTTCTCGCTGTCCAACAACGCCTCCGAAGAGTTCGCTTTTTCCTGCGTAAAACGAGAAATCATTAAGGTCAATAAGTTTTGTGTGGGGTATGCAATAGTCGACTGAAGACTACCGACTGTGCCAGATTAATAGGTTTTCTGGTGTACATACATGAAGTGAAAAAGCATTTAACCAAACAGTATAAATCACAATTCTCTGATAGATTACTATGTACAACTCATAATTATTGATTTGTTTTTCTTTATCGTATGCCACCTTGGGCATACAAGAAATCTTTCTATAATGATAATACCTTTTCCATCTTGAGGGCCTCGGCTAATAAGTCCACGATACGAGGTCCCAGGCTACCGAGATAATCTTCGAGTGCGACGAGTTGGCGTAGTGTGGCCACGACGTTGTCTCCGTCGGTGGCGGGGGGTGCAGTCCTACTGGCGGAGCTGGACAGACGCCGCCGCGGGGGCGGAGGCCTGGACCCGCGGGACGAGCTGCCCGCGCGAGACTGACCCGGGCGCAGCTCCGACACCGACGCCACGGACTCGATGTCGTTGTCAGAGTTCCATGGTGAGATATCGTCACTAAAAAAAATAGAATAGAATATAACTTTATTGTACACCATTAATAATACAGTACATACAGAAAAGGAAATGACAAATATAAATAAAAATAATAATGGGCACAAAGGCGGTCTTATCACTATAATATTAAATATTAAGTGAATTATGACAGGTTAACAGTATTAGCCGATGTGTAAGGTAATTGTGTGTGTACGTACGGTTTGAGATCGTCATCGGAGATGAGCACAGTCTGCATGGAGGGCGGCGGCTGCGCGGCGAGCGCGTGGCGCGTGTCGGGGCTGCGGTTGCGCTGCGGCTCGCGCTGCGACAGCGGGCTGCGGCTGCTGCGGCTGCGCCCGCGTCTGTACCACGGATATTATGTTATTCATATTCCCTACGCGTCTTATCTACGATAAACAGTAGATATCAAATTGAACTATGTTCTACCGATGCAAATAGTGTCAAATAAATACACAAATTACTTTTCAACTTAAAGAAATAACAAAAACCGCAATAACAAAAATAGTAAAAGCCTTCGCTTGATACACTGCTTTTCTCTCATTTAGAAAATATCTTCCTAGTACTTTTTTCCTGACGATGCGAAACTACAATTTAAGAGACAAAGACACGATAATAATAGTACCTTGGGAAAGGGCTTCTAGAGCGAGTACGTTTGTGATACGGCAGTGGTGAGCGGCGACGTTCCGGTGACCGACGCCGACCCGGCGACCGGCGTACGGGCAATGGGGATCTGGTGCAACAACATTATTTGACAACAAAATTTCAAGTTATCATCAATAAACAAAATAATCATGCTATTTCAAATGTTAATAAAGAAGGATTAAAGACGATAACTGTATGCTGTGAATAGTGACACAAAAGAAAAGGTAGTGTATGGATTACAAGGATATTTTTTGGTGGATATTTAACTGAAATATTTCGTAATGACATGAGAAAGTAACTGACCGTCGTGTTCGGCGGTGTTCAGGGGTGCGTCGTCGTGGCAGAGGCTCGCGGCCGCGGCGGTCGTAGTCGTGTCGGTCGTGTCGCTCCGGCCTGTCCACTCGGTGGCGCTCCGGAGAGCGCCGCCGGGGTTCCGGAGAGCGACGCCGAGGCTCGGGAGATTTGCGATGCGGAGACGGAGACTTCTTGTGTAACCTTTTATTTAAATGAACAGTTTAGCTTCCGATCTCTACAATACAATACAGTGTTATGGATTGTATTTCCAATACCTAATATTCATCTTAAGATGTGACTGTTAACATATTTCTCAGTACGAGGCATTAATAAAAAAACAATACGACAAAGGTTTGCTTAACTGTGATTTTTAAAAACATTAGTTTAGTAAAGTTTAAGAAGCTACAAAGATTAATAAAATAAGTCGAATAATTTAGTCGAAAAACATGTTAAAGTGATGACATTGTTTCTTGTGTACCTGTCGGGGGATCTCTTGTTCATATCTGGTGGAGACAGACACATGCGGCGGTAGATCTCGTTGACTCGCACGCGCAGTTCTTCCTCGTGCAGCTCCTTCATGCGCGCTGTCCAGAACACTATCCACTCCGGCTTGAAGTCGTGCTTCGATGGGTCCTTGCCCTCTGAAATTATGTATACATTTAGGAATAATGGCAATACTAAAGTCGATAAAACTATGACAAAGATGATTTCAACGAGCGAGCGATTCACCTGATGAAATTATGTATACATTTAGGAATAATGGCAATACTAAAGTCGATAAAACTATGACAAAGATGATTTCAACGAGCGAGCGATTCACCTGATGGTAAGCAATCGGCGCTGCCCATGGACACTCACAACAACAAGAAGTTACAAGTGTGTTGCCAAACTTATTGGGGATTGAGGATAGGAATTTTTGGGATTTGTATATTAGGAAATCTACATAATTTTGAATAAGTTGCGTTACATACCAGCCTGTATCTCCTTGTAGCGCCTGTTCCAGAACTTCTTCCACTCCTCAGGGTACAGCGGGTGTTTCTCCGGGTTCTTCTCATGGTAGGCTAACGTCTTGTTCGCTGAATCCTCCATCATGAGCCGCTTCTCTTCAGCTAGTTTCACCTTGTACTCGTAGTTTGGAGGACGTGATTTCTGTGTTCACAATGATATAATTGGACCATTACAAATGTGCGAACTGTTATAAGTAATTTTTATCAGATTTCTCGCTCACACTTGCGAGAATGCAAGTTGTGCGAAATTGTCTCATTAATTGGACGCACGTTTGTAATGGCCCTCTATAGTAAGAGATATGGAGAGTGAAGCAACTGTAATTTAAGGTTTCTATTCCACCTTCCATTCCCCGAATCAGGTACGCAAGTGTGAACATGCACAATGTAACATCCACATTTCGCCAGATACATAATAAATTTCAAGCAAACTGTCATACACTAGACTCTTAGTGTCTCTAGTGACTTTTTTTTTAATGGGGGAAAATCATCGAATGACTGCTCCCGCCTGGGTGAGGCGGAAGGGAGTGTCAGACTCTTACTGACTAAAAACCACCCCGTTACCTTTCCTGCACGTCGAGCCGGAGCCCCGGTTACCCGTTAGGTTCTCCGCGACTCCGAATCGGCATCGGCCCTGTTGGGCCCCATCTGTGGTGGTCTGATGGCTCTTTGAGGCGCGCGCGGAACGCGACGCGCCGTACGGTCGGGTCTGTTTCTATTCGGACGGGGAGCCACCCATGCCCACCGTCCGCAGGCCCGCGCTTACGGTGGCCGGAGATCGTCCCGCGATCCCCGACGCCCGGTGTGTCCTTCGCGATGGCTGGGTTGCGAGGAGGCAGCGCTTCGCTGCCTCACGCGTCCCGCCTCCTCCTTAGCTAGCATAACTGCTTCGCAAAAGGAGGAGACGGCATCCCAGTCCCCCTCGCTCCGCATCATGGCCTGCACTAGGCCCGGACGCGAGAGGTCGCCATCGCCGATCACTTCCCTGAGGGCACGGCGGTGCTCAGCCCACGCAGTGCATTCCCCTACTGTGTGTCCACCGTGTGCTCAGGGCGGTCCTCGCAGTGATGACACCCGGATGTTTCCTCCCGCCCCATCAGACACAGGTACCTCCCGAAACTTCCATGTCCGGTGAGGACCTGCGTCAGGCGGTAGGTGAGGACGCCGTAACGTCTCTCAAGCCACTCCTCAAAGAGGAGACTCACCGCTGGAGGAGGCGGAATGGAGCCATTATTGACAGTTCATCCCGACCTCCTCTGTGGCGGCAGCGGCAACTGCGGCGGCAGTGGCGGCGGCGGCGGCGGAAACGACAGGGGCGGCGGAGGGCCTTCCTTTGCCCTTGGGTTTGGCAGGAGGGAAGCAGCCCTTGCTCCCGACCCGGTGATTGGCCGGCTTGCCAGCCGCCGCACATGCGTTGTAGTGTAGCGGGGCGGTGCACGAGCCGGCGTTGTGACCGGGCCGACCGCAGCGGAACCCAACCCCATCACCCCTGCTAGGGAGCCTGTCGCCCGCACCCAGGGTGCACCACGGGGAGGTCTTCTGGCACCGCACGCCGTATCTAGTGACTAGACTTATATAGACTCTCAGCACTTTGCCCGATGCAAGAATTGCCGCTCATGGACACTACAGGTGTCCACCAGAGGAGCAACAAATGCGTTGCTGACCTTTTGGAAGCTAGGGATATGACGACGGGATTTTAGGCATTGGACCTCTTTAACCAACGAGGCAGTGTAATAACATTACAATGTAGTAAAATAGTTACCTTCTCCGGAGGCAAGCCCTCTTGCGTCCGCGTGGCAGTCCTGCGTCCCGGCGAGAGATTGCGCCTGTCTGGGTAGGGCTCGTAGCGCGACTTACTGAGATTGGCGTGCCTCTCCCTGTTACCATTACTTAAATTAATACTGTTTAGTATAAACGATGTGATTCCGTTCTTAATTTAACGTTCTAAATACTATGTGTATACCAGAAATCAGTTAAATTAGCTTTTACCCACGGCTTCTTCTCGGCACAGTCAAGTATGTATTCATTCATTTACTAACAGCCTTTGAAAGCCCAGTGCTAACAAAGAAAACACAACACAGAACAAAAGCCTCTTCTCTCAAGTATTACGTAGATATATGTGTACTAAATTTCAAGAAGACGAGGTAACAAAAAAACCTTACTGATGCTGTTCATGTTAGAGTCTGGTGCCGTAAATCATATTGTTCTATAGTATTTTTGGTACTCGAAATGGGTTGGCGATTGACCACTGTCTCGCCTGGTGGTAAGCTACGATAAAGCCCGATACGGTAAATAGATCTTCAAGATTCAAAGACTGTCACAGAAATCCATGCTTGGTTGGTCATGATGAAATCAAGTCGTAAAATATAATTTATATTTATTTAGTTACACACAGTTACATATGTAGGTACTTACTTGGAAGATGGACCAGGTTTGGAGGCGTGTCGTCGCGCGTCGTAGTCTGCCTCGTCGCTGATGTCGGAGAGCGAGTTGACGGAGCCCGCGCGCCGCTCCTGCCGACCCGGCGGCCGCTATAGTCAACATCTCATAGACTTTGCTACTTCTCACAGTATATGCATCACCAAATTCATTATTATTTAATTTGTGTAGATGCATGTTTCTTTTTACGTTCTTTACTTTATAATATTAATTAGTACTAATAAATAGAAGTTTCTAGTTATATTTGTTAGGTTAACGAAATACGCATTTGTATGTTTAATGTGATAAAAGCGTGAAAGGTAGTCATGTTAATAATGAAATACTTAATTGAATGTTTGTAGGATATGGACTTCATTATGTTAAAAGTTTCATGTATACACACCAATTTTGTGATATGATGTTTAAAGGCATACCTACACAAACCTCGTTTGAAATTGAGATCAATCCAGTTTAGGAGTAAAATGTAAGCAAAGAAGAATAGGGCCTGTTTCACAATGGCTGATTAAATCTTATTTATTTAATTAATTTTTGTCTTATTTTTTTCATAGGAAATGTGTTAAATTGAGTTTTCAGTTAACAATCACTTATAGACATTGTTAAACAGGCCTCGATTGTTAAAGTCATTGTTAGAAAATCTCATTAGTAGATCATTAACAAAGATCATTAGTTTGTATATTTAGAATACCGCTTACCGAGAAATTATTGAATAATGGCTTTGACGGCGCCGCTACTATGGGTGGAGATGGCTCTTTCGAACTTCTGAAAGAATAAAATATATTGTGTAATAAGAAAATTTGAGTAATGCATTTCTATTGCAATCATAAGATTAATCGAGCTAAGTCATTTTACGTGTTCTCCGATAGGGTGGGTAGACAGGTGTGCACATATATTATGAAATGTAATATCTACTTTAGGTCTCTATCCATTCTATATTTTATAACTTACTTGGATGGCTTTGAGCTTTTCTTTTCATCGCCTGAAACAATAATAAAAATTGTTAGATATCATTTCAAATAGTATTTTTAGATTTTCTATATCTTCATACAACTGAGGTGGTGGACAATGAAATGAAGCTGCTACTCGGTTTATGATTTCTATTCTTCATAATTACAACTTTATATAATAGGTTTTAAACACATTTTCTATGACTTTTGTACGATAAACTAGATAAATGAATTGAGAAGTTTAAAATCCATAAAATTATTCTATTTTTGACCAAGGAAACAATCTGATGCATGAGGGATAGAAGTTTATCTGTTAAATTACAAGAAGATATTAGTAAAAATACTGACCAGATTTGTGCAGTGTGTCCAACAGTCCGATGTCAACTACTTCTGTGAACGCCGGGCCATCCTTCTCAGAGAAATGATGTCCTTGAAACACCCACTGATGGATCTGTTCCCTGTAACAAATTATTTTTGATTACGTCATCCAGGTTTGTTAATACATCTAGATTATCAGCCCAAAATAAATTGCTTATCGTTATTCTAAAAAATAAGAAGCTATATATAAAGGTAATACTTTATTTATTAAGGTAATGTTATAATATATATTAAGGTGTCTGAACGTTTTGTACCCAAACCGCTGATCTAGGTTTGTACCCAGGCACAAGTATCAGTATGAATTCACTTAACCCGTATTAGACCGCAGATCGCAGATCTACGCGAGACACAATGTGGTTTCTATTGTGTTTCATATACAAAACGTTAATCACTAATAATTCGGCCCTCATCTAGTAATTTAAAGATTGACGTGTAAGTGTAAGGCCGGCTCGACCGGAGTGATACCACGGCCTCACAGAAAACCGAGTCGTGTGAGTGAATTCCCGAATCCTCCATAATCCTCAAATTCCCATTTCCGGTAACGCAAGCCTCGGTGTTTCGGGTGTCAATGGGCGACACCGATTGCTTACCATCAGGTGATCCGTCTGCTCGTTTGCCGGCTTATCCCATAATAAAAAGTGTTTCTATTTGCAGAAAACATTGTAATGAAACTTATAATTAAATAATACTGGATATTCCCAATCTGCCTCGGGAAAACAAGCAGTGAAATTATTTACAAGTGCGAGGAAAAGACGAGAACTTACTTGTTCTTTTCATATTCTTCTTTCTCGATGTTGACGGGTCTCATCCTGCCGTACTTGTCCTCGATAAGCTGCGCTAGTCGGTTCATAATCAGTTGGACTCCCACGCGGTACCGAGGCTGGATGCGGTACGGGGCCAACAGAGCACTCGCTTTCGTGTAGTGACGTACCTTCAAACATCACCAATGTTAATTTTTCGTTATTAAGTCGAAAGTCTTTTAAGCCTTCGACTGCCGACAGAAAACTGTTGAAGGCAAATCCTCCGCTAACGTAGATCACCAGTGACCTACGTGGCGGTTAAAGTGTTAATAGAAGAAAATACTTTTTCGTTTTTATTTCGCGTAATTCAGACTAAAAATAATAATGAATTTGTAAATGACATAGATGTATGTACTATTTATATGTTAAAGGAAAAACAGATAAAGTATACTTACGAGGTAATTGTGGCGATGCCAGAAGCAGGTCATGTGGTTGATGATAGTCCGCGGATGTCCGTACTTGGAGCAGAGCGTACAGATGTACGAGGGCTCGTAGTGAGCCTGCTCCGGTGGGTGCTCGATCAGGTACTCTAGGCCCAGCAGCGGAGCCCTATGTCACGTAAACATTTAGTCAAATAAAATTCATTAACAACATTCATATGGCATGCAATTGAGTCATAATATGGAACTTCACGGTTGGTGCTGTGGTTAGGCAACCGGCTGCCGTGCAACGTATCGCGGGTTCGATTTCCCGCACGGAACAACACTTTGTGTGATCCACAAATTGTTGTTTCGGGTCTGGGTGTCATTGTGTATGTAACGCACCCACGACACAGGAGAAAATCCTAATGTGGGACTTCATATTAGACACTGACCCTATTGGGGATGGCCATGGGAGGGGGGTGCTGATTGCTTTTCATCAAGTGATATGTATGCTCATTCAGACTTAACTAGTAAAAATACCAGCATCATTGAATATGGGATGTTATCATTAGTATGAACTCACTTAACGGCGTCGAGAGAATCTTGAATGTGGCAAGTAATGTTCCTGTATTTGTTATACTTGTTATGGATATCTGACTCCACCGCCAACTTCTGCATAGCTTTCTCCGATTCTGCCACCAAATAAAATACATTAATTAACTCGTCGGGTACCGTATTTATAGATACAATTAAAGAACAATAGGTTGCGGTCACCGGTGACCGCTTGGTGTTTGACAGTTTATTACACAACAAGTTTGATTTATTTACAACACTCAACCAAATTGGATAGTTATTTTTTGGTGTGTCCAGTATTGTTAGTTGTTCTAACTGATGGTTTGAATGGATTAACATTTACGGGGAACTTCGTAAAATAGCATCCGAACGAAGCTGGGACATGTCGCAAGTTGTGAAGTTATTACAATATCTCGTTCATAAGAACATGTAATATGTGCACGTTATTATAACCCTTCAAAGAATTAAATACTCGATGTTATATTATAAAATAGACTACACGAACATATACTTACGGCTCGGCTTGCTAGAACTGTTATTGGATGGAGGGTCCACAAAGATGTTCAGTGGCCAAACGTTTCGCATTGTCAGCTTAGCCTTGTGTTTCTTCCCCGATAGATGAGTCTGAGTATCAAAATATAAGCAGATATTGAAATAAAGGGTAAACATTTCTTGAGGTGCAATATAAGAGCTAAATGTGAATGAATATTATAATATGACGAACTAAGGCATGCCCGCCACGTATACAAATAGTGTGTTGAAGTAGGCATGTGGTTCTGACCTGTAGGATGGTCTCCCCGCTACAGACAGCAGTGCACGGGTAGCACAGGTACATCCACTTGCCCGATATGTCGCGCTCGCGCCGCTCCACCATGCACCGTGTGCTGCCATCTTCAAGGTTGATCTTCAAACTGTTCAGATGCTCTTGAAACTCCAACTCCGCCTATAAAACATTCAACAAAACCATTACAATCGTATACCACATATTATTCCAGGCTAGCTCAAGTACTGGCCAAATAGTCCACGATTAAACGCCGATACAAAAAAAATATTATGCCTATTATAGGTACGAACGGCCGTAACGTGGGATAAATATAACAAATAAAACAGTTCAATGTATTATTTTTATTCGTTTATTAAGTTTTATATACTAAGTTATTTTGCACTATTTATACTTACCTGAGCACTGCTACACTCCGTAATAAAATATTATGTTTTCAGTCACACAATAATATTATTGTGTGATAAATAAATGGTAACAGTACGTAAAGTTGCACAGCGCGTAAATTGTGATAAAACCGATACCAATAGGTTTGCCTCCCCGCTTCGAAATATAATCAGATGCTTGGCACCTGACACACTTATCAAGTTATCATACAACCAAGTGGTTTCAATGTGCACCATTTTGCATAGTAATAGTATGTCTCAAGCAAACAAGCAAGATATAAATCTAATAGCTATTACTATCACTAATCCTGAGATGTGGATAATTTGACTTAAGTTAATTTTTTATTTAGTTGCCATCAACAGAGGTCCTTCAAATGTTGTTAACATGTTGTATTGTGTTGTGCTTTGATTCTTCAATAATTTATCTACTTTTGAAATAGAAGTAAAGTTTTATCTTTTAGAATTAGAACCATATTGCCCATTCCTTCTCCCATATGAGTGTTCTTTTCCGATTCATATTTCTGATCCTAGTTTATTTTTAATCTTCGCAAAAAATCGTCGCTCTTTGTTATGATCATTTTTATTCATAGAGGTAGGAATTTTCAAGGAATATTGAATATAATAATAATTATTTATACAAAACTTTACTAAAGCATGCTTATGTACAAAATACTGATATTACCGACTTTGTATAAATTTAACAGAATTTCTCGCTATCAATGACCAAATACGTTATGTTCATATGAGTTGAACTCTCAAATATTTTTTAAATTAGGACGTTTCAGTAACTGTTCGCAGAGGTACTTTTAATGATTTTTTTTACAAAATAAATTATATTATTTTATCAACTTAATCACCTCTCAATTTTTAATTATAGTTTTACTGCCTAGAAATGTGTTATAAGAAGTTAATTTAAGTTCACAGCTTTAGAGCTGTTGCCGCAGAAGCATATTGACTCAATTACCTGCCAATATGCCAATATTGTACTTATAAACTAAAATAAAAATGTTATAAAATAAAAATATAGTCATGATAATGTATAATCAGTAGTAAGAACCTTTTTTCATCCTTTAATAATTGCAAAAGATTTTTGATGCACCTAGGACCTAGGGTAACAGTGTTATCAGTAAAAAATACTAACAACTTTCATCTCCAATTGTTTGAATATACTTATTGAATGTATACTGTAATAAAACATAGAGGGTGTCTCTAACTGTCCAAAACCACCACCTCTTGTGCATACAAAAATCATTGTCGTTTTGAACTCATCCTAAATACTTCTAATTATAAATGTGAAAGTTTGTGAGGATGTATATTACTCTTGCCCACAAGCACTATGATCAGATTTGATATACGATATAAAGTTGACACAAAGATTCAACTATCACAGTTTAGAACAACACATAATACACTACCAATTATATTTGGTAAACTGACTGTAGAAACTGGCACTAATAAAATATCAAAAATGTAGTATTATTTTTTTAATTGCCTACATTCATAAACAGTGTAGAATAGATTAATCACAGAACTGTTTTGATGTGTGATTCTGTCTAGTTTCAAGGCACGCTAGGGACTCATATTCACTTATATGTATGCACGTCATGCCGCCAACTGTTGCGATGTCACCGTGTCGTGTGTCGCGCTATGCTGCTCATGAATATGAGCCTCTAGCGTGGGTTGAAACTAGTAATATTCCCTTGTCTAACAGTTACATAAGTAATCTGTTAAACATATACATATTATAATTAATTCAATTTGTCTCACCAGAATCGCGCACAAAATATTATCTACCACTGACTAGGTAAACAACCAAAAATTATGTTTCTTGGATGGTTAATTCTTTAAACATTTATTTTATTATGTTTTTGATATATTTTTTTTAATTTCATTTTTGGTATTAGAACTGTGTAGATATCGTGTTTCTTGAGATACAGCCCGGTGATAGATAAATGAATGGACAAACAGTGAAGTCCTTCTTTGTTTCAAATAGTCATTTCTTTTTTTTTCATTTACTAATATTTTATTTTCTTTGTTTGTTTGTTTGTATAGGTTTTTTTATCACTTAATTGTAAAGTTGGTTAACCTACAATTGGCAACTGTATAAGCCCAATACCTATTGTTACCTTTGTTATCTCTTAATACTATGTATCCAGAGGCTGCAGAAGCAGAATAATAAGGACCCTTTTCACCCTTTGGGGTGGTACTCTATAGAATAGACTTAATTATATCACATAGACATAAAATATGGCTAATTTAATCACTCAACTTCGAAAAGTGCGTTTTAGTCTAGTTCAGTTATAATTACAGTATTTGCTTTGCAAATGATTGACACATTTCGATTACCAAACGTGTTAGTTCTTAAAAACAAAATATAAGAAATATATATTCACTACTAATAGTATAATGAATTTTAGTATTGCAAGTATATTTACTTGATATCTGCCAACACGGTTTATGGTATAAAAAGCTTCTAATGTCTTTTATATTCTATTTAGGATTCAAAGGGGGATAGGAACAATGTTACCCATTATCAAGCTGTAAAAACTTAAGCAAAACTTATGCTCCTTGTGTCAAAATTGAGGATAATAAACAGTTAACATAATAATCAAGATTTATTTGAGACTAATTACTTCAGTATTGTATTTGAAATAATAAATTAAGTATTATATTTACCTTAGTACAAGACGAGTCCTCTAATTCTGGTTTCCTAGGTACTTCAGTGACCGTGTCCTCATACCCTTCTGCCCCTGGAGGGCAATCTGGAAGGTCCATCTTGAAGCACTACACTTGGTAGTTTATGACCAGAAAGCGGTCATAAACTTTTGTCACAATTCTTCAAAACACAAATCTTCTCTCTTCTTTATCTTCAGTCACGCACAACTGTAACCCAAACCATTTGATGTCAAACTAACTAAACAAACTTGGGCACTCTATGTAAAAATGTACATTATAAATAAACAGATACTTACAACAATCCAATATAAGGTATACTTACGGGTGTCGGGGTGGTTTCTAATCACTGCTATTTGGTATGCACAGTATGTGCGAGATTGTGGCATTGTATCAACAAGATCACACATTCCAGGTATACTATACTTAATACTTATATTATCAAAAATGTAGAAAATTCACTTTATTGAATTATATCACAAGCAACCCTACGAGTAAGTAGTTTCTTATACATTGTGACTATCGAAACTAATAAATATAATTATTGACATTGATGCTAAGCAAATATAAATACCGGATTTAACATTTCAAACAAAAAGTATGGTAGTTTTGGAAAAATATTTATAGCTATACATTATTATAAGAAAATTATTGTGTCATTATGAAAATAAAAGTATTATGTATAACTATTTTTGGATATTTTGAAATAATTTAGGCGCTATCAATTTTGTTATATTAGGCATCGAACTGTAAGATATAAAGGCGCACTTACCAATGAAGTCAATAATATAATTAAGTATGTAACCACTGTTAAACTGCATCATGTACTATATTGATTAGTCCATGGACTGAACTTACAAAATCAGTACTTTTATGTAATTACTAGAACGACGTTTAAACTATGATGATCAAACCAAGAAATGGTAAATAAGTATATCTTATCGAATATTACAAAATTAATCAATTTGGCTTTGTATTAAATGTAGACCATGGTAAATTCATCGCTTAATCTAGGACTCTAAAATCGAGAAATGGACCATAACGTTTACATTAATATTTTCACTTAACGAATGAACAACGTTGTTTCGTAAACACATAAAATCGCTCTTCTCAGTATAATATTGCAATTGATTAATAAAAAATGCATTTCATACTAACCTTTTCAAGCAGTTAAGAATTCCGTCAGTTTAATTACAATCTTTGTACCCATCAAAAACGAAATGGGTGCATCCTGGAGATCTTTACATTCTAGCTAACCTTTTCAAACGAAAGTTGATGCTCTTTCCAGCAATCCACTCATAAAATTAAGATATTGATTACACTTTCAACTTGACGCTGCAGCCAGCAGACAGAAAAGCAAGTAAAAAAGCAACCTTCCTATAACCCTATCAAATTTGAAATGTCACTAGTATTTTGTCTTGCACAACCCAAGAAGACATTCAAATCTTGTTGATTTTTATTGGAGAACTGACATACATGCTAACCTATCAAATTTTGTCGCATTATAGTACCAAGTGGCAGCTCCATAGACAAAACTAAAGGTACTGACAGATGTGCTCATTAAGCCTTTAACTGCGCTATCGTGGCCCATATCTTTTTTTATTATTATATTAGATTTTTTTTCTCCACGGAGTCTTGTCCGTGCCCTTGTCATTCAATTACATTTTCTTTTATTTTACAGTCAAAATTAATTGTTACAAAAATCTTACGTGCTACATTAACCACATTTTTTTGCCATTTCGTTACACACGTCACGTACTACTAATGAGCACTTGCTCAAAAAAAGCATGCTTTCGTGCTATTACTAGCACGAGAGCACGTCTGTCAGTACCTTTACTCTATTTGTTTGTACATACATCAGACATGACATTTACAAGTACAGTAAATAAAAAAAATACCTAATATTTTTTTTAGTTCACAAACTTTTTTAGGGTTTATTATGGTTCAATAATATGGAAAAGTTACATAATAATGTATGGTTTAAATTATTTATTTATTTCGAATTTTTTACCATGTTTTTATGGTGTAATAAACTAAAATTCGTTGTGATTGACCATAAATATCAAACATATAAAATAGAACGGACTATAATTTATTGCGAAAATGTGTTGAATTCTATAGAAACATTAATATTTGCAACTTAAAATTAACTACAACTAAACTATTAAACTGTCAAACACCAAGCGGTCACCGGTGACCGCGACCTATTGTTCTTTAATTGTGTCTATAAAACCGGTACTCGACGAGTTAAATGAAACGAAAGTAAAAAAAGGAAACAACAAAAATTATACCCTCAATTTAGGCGTCAAAGTAAGAACGAACTTGGATTCTCGAAATGTCAATTGCTGATTTCGAGAACGCGGGTTCGAAATAAATTTAGATCGGGCTTTATACACTAAAACTAATTTAAAAATATACATTATGTATATGATAAAAATTAAATGAAAGAAAACTAAAAATAACTATTTACACAAAGCATCGAAAAATTCATCCGCATCGAAGTCAATGGAAATAACGGGCTTGAATTCTCGAAACGTCATTTGACAATTTCGAGAAGGCGGTCGAAAAAGGCGGGAAAACGAATGGGATTTTGAACGGACGGTTAGTAATAAAAAAAAACTAATACTTAGTATCATTCTGTTGGCGGTACGATGGGAAAGAAGATTATGTAATATTCGTATCTTTGTTGTAGCTGTGCTTTTGAATAAATATTATTTATATCTTCTTTCTTTATTCTACTACTAGCTTCTGCCCGCGACTTCGTACGCGTAATCCTATTTTTCCCGTCCACATTCGTGATTTTCGGTAAAAACTAAAAAAAAAGTATTGGTTAAAAAGTATCCTATGTCGGTCTCCTGGCTCTAAGCTACCTCCCTACCAATTTTCAGCCAAATCTATTCTGCCGTTCTTGAGTTATAAGTGGTGTAACTAACACGACTTTCTTTTATATATATAGATATATAGGTAGAATATATAGATAATCAATACCAAGTTGACTGCCTCGTTGGCCGAGTGGTCGTAAGTGCGACTGCCGGGCAAGGGGTCTCGGGTTCGATTCCCGGGTCGAGCAAAATATTACTGGGTTTTTAAATATTCTCAGTAGTAGCACGGAGTCTGGAATTATGCCCGGTATATGGCAATAGGCTCACCCCTACATACATGGGACTCATAACAGAAATAGTGAAAAGTGGGTGTTACATTGTACAGTATGTAGTATAATGTGTACCTCTGCCTACCCCTTCGGGTATTCTATTGCACCAGCCATTGGGCTGTATGACTAGCTACAGTGCAACATGTGCATTGGGTTTAAAGTGTTCAGTACAGATTATTAGGATTAAAATGGTCATCGTTAGTTCGGAGTCAGAAATTTAACGGTGTTTCACCTTAAACCATTAGTCCTGCCAGCCAGATGGTGTGTTGCATTTAGTGACTAAGTACGTACTTTTTATAGGAATAAAAAAAGTGATGTTAAATCATGAAGATGTAGATAAACGAACAAAATTAATTATACTAATCAACAAACTATGAATCATTATCCATGACCGTAGTGTAGTTATAACTGCTCTCGACAAAAATATTTCACCGGTTGAAACAGCGGCTAGTAAAACCGGATAGTAAAGCGGTTAATTGACACAAAAAGTGGTCAGTATCATTAAATATTTACTATATTTTTTAATCATGATTCTTCTCTATTATTAGGAGCTTTAAAGTATAATTTTGACCTTTGCTTTGAATAGCGGTCACTTTGTCTATAAAAAATAGGTAGGCTGTTAGCAAGAGATAGTGTAGATATCATGTAAATCAACACCCAATATAAATGAACAGTACCTTTTTTTTTTAAGGGGGGAAAATCATCATCTTCGAATGACTGCTCCCGCCTGCGTGAGGCGGAAGGGAGTGTCAGACTCTTACTGACTAAAAACCACCCCATTCCTTCTCCTGCACGTAGAGCCGGAGCCCCGGTTAACCGTTAGGTTCTCCGCGACATGAACAGTACCTTATCCTGTCTTGTCGGTATTGTACTAGTACCCACTCCTACTACTACTACTATAGACTTTTTTATGGAATATGAGGCAAACGCGCAGACGGACCTGATGATAAGCAATCAGCGCCGCCCACGGACACCCGCAACACCAGAGAAGTCACAGGTGCGTAAAGCGTTTTAAAAAGGAATACGTTCTTTTCTTAAAGACTCTTAACATATAGGTAGATAATTCCTGGCCGTCCTAATCGTCGCATCCGGAAATGCATATTCAGCAAAATATGCATTCGTCTTTTGCAATCTGTAGAACAAAAAAATTTACAAGTTTTTATTCCATTTGTCATCACTTATTTTTATAATCGTACCTACCTATTAAACTTTTCAAGCTCTCAGGTTTTTTGTACCATCTTTTGTTTCCTAAATGAGATAAAAAAGTTTGTACTTACACAAAATCTCAAACAGCAGGTAGGTAAATGAGTCTCACTAGTATCAACTATCAAATATCCACAGTTAAAGATAATATCAAACTATTCAACTGCCGTCAAATATTTACAGACAGGTACAATTGCATGTTTCTTTAACGTTCAGTCCGCAGAAACTATCAATAAAAGACATCAACGATCGTCTGTTATGGTATACCATACAAACCTACGTACTTACTTACACTTATCTATAGCAAAACAAATTACAATGCATGTTCATTGGCTGTTATAAAAATCGTGTTAAGTAAATAGAACTATCTATTACAATTTAATCACATGAAGAAGAAAAACAAAAGATATTCGGTGATCACTGCCCCAAATGTCGCAGTCGCGACCACATCGCAGGATAGGTAATTAATTATGCATAACGTGTGATATGTTATGTAGATATAGCTGTTACAATATAAAAAATAATGAATGGTCAAGCAAGTATCCCAACTGAATCCATACCAAGATAATTGTTATGTACATTCCAACGGCGTTGTACGGAAAACAATGCAACATAAGTAAAACATTTCGCACAAAATTCGTCGAGGGCATTCACCGAAAAGTTCGGAGTCTCAATGCTAATTAGCTACGAAGATTAGCCCAAGCGACTCGGTGGACCTGTGCTGTGGGGCTGTGGTCACCGGAGCGCATTCACAACCGCGGTCAACATGCGTGCACACGGACGCGTGCCCGGCGCTCGCGCACACAGCGTGCTTTTACGCTCAATTTACATTTACGCGTGTATCTCACTTACTACAGCCTCCAAATACGGAGTCCCAATAGAAATCAAATTATGGGACACTGGCAGGACGCCTTTAGCTCATATGGTGGATGTTACCAACGGGTTTGGTTTAAAAGTGCTGGCAGAACATAACTTTTTAAATGATAACAACATAGCGTTTTCCCCTTATGGACTAATGGGGATTATGGTGGCCTTGTATGAGGGAGTGGATGGAGAGTCTTCCTATCAGATCCAGCGAGGAATGCAGTTGCCATGGAACAGGAACATCATGAGGATAGGTTTTAGAGATATACACCGCACCTTGAAAGTAAGTCATACACTATAAGCAATGACAACTTTATAAACATCCCTTCGTAGTAAATATTGACCTCTGCAATAAATACAACTGCCAGGCACTCTCACTATTGTTTTGTTTTGATCTGTGACTAAAATGTAACAGTCTGTAGCTTTAGGAAGTACGCCCAGTAAATATATAGTATTGTTGTTATCACATAATATCCCTTTCGTTTTCAATCCGTTACTTTGGGTGACTTTCATTTCATACCTCAAAGTTTTGTTAATTGAACTAATATTTTAAACCAGATAAATTTTATTTTATTTCACTAATTCGCTCCAAGTTTATTGTCATCTACCTACACTTCTTATTTAAGTGCAAAGTTTATATGTAGATACCTAATCGCGTTAGAAATAGTAAAGTATAGGTACTTTACTAGTCTAGGGTAGGCCCTAGACTAGTTTCTAGATTATAAGATCTTTTTAGACCTAACTAAGATACTTAGGTACTTTTTATTAGTTATATAATTCTATAACTGAGCATTGTCCTAAACTGAGAAACAGGCAACATAGAGTTATCTTTGTATATAAAAACGTAGGTAGAAAGTTACCTGGACCCTGGGGCACCCAGTACCTACCCACCTATTAAAATGACGTAGGTAGTCATATTAATATTAATTTTATATCAAACGTGATATTACCTATGTAACTTTCTGGTAAAAAGGAAGATAGGTTTCAATTACAAATTCGAATTGGTAAAGCACCCACGATAAAATAACCAATGGACAGGTACATGCTTACTAGATACTATAGCTCTTAAGTAGTCCATCGTTTTCCATAAATATTTTGTTGATATTTACACTGAAGTTTTAATTTCAGACTTATTTCGTACCGGAAGAAGGATTTCTGGCAGGCTTAGCGCTAAACAATGAAAATGTCACATTCAATGAACCTTACAGAAAGATTCTACGATTTTATGGTTTTGATTTAGAAAACGATCAATTGCCGACACTTGCACCAGAAACAAACAGTACTTCAAGTGATACAAACTCAACTACACCAAATCCTGCAGGAAGCACTGATGGTACAACTACGACCGAGGCAATGATGACAGCTCTACCTGCTCGAGAAGATGCTAGTACAGCCTCTCCGAATAGAGAAGAAACTACAACCACACTAAACCCAAATGCGGAGACAATAAGCACGATAGATATAAGAGGCGCGACATCGACTGCAGCAAGCCCATCTTCAGCGCCAAATGCAGAAAGTACTCCCATGAGTACCACGGTTACCACTACGAAAACAGAGACAACTACAGAAATAATTACAGAGCCAACCACACAGACGATGACTACAGTACAGACAGAAACCACCACACAGGGAACTTCAGCAGCCGATACAGAAGCCACAACTACTATAGCTCCCAGCACAACAACTGACATGCAAACAATATCCATGACTTCTCAAGTCACAGATTCCTTATCTACAGCTATGACAAATGAACCAACTACAAACAACGAAGTCAATACATCATCAACCGCCGAAGGTAATGCGGTATCAACTACAATCGATGTAACGGCTACCACAGTACCACAGACCAGTACACTTGACGCAAGCACTGCTCAGACTAGTGATGATACGACACCATCAACTGCAGACAGTTCTTCAACAATATCTACGTTAAGTGAAAACACTCCAATAGAGAGTTTTATGACTACAAATGCAGACACACAACCAACTGAACAAATGTCTACGATGACTATGGACGATATGACCACTTCATTAAATTCAGTGACAACATCTAATGAAACAACGTTAGAAACGTTGGAACGGAAGAAAAAGTCGATAGTAGACTTCATATTTACCAACCCCCCATACGTCGAGGACTATTTGTATTATAGATCATATGACATTGGCTCAGATGTCGCTAATCCAGGCTTTGATGACAAAATGTTCTTGGCAAATGGTTTGCGAAGTGTTCAGGTGAGAATATTTTGAAATATACACAATTAAGTATTGATTGGTGAGTACTGGTACTTCACCAATAGGAAGTGTGTAGGTACCTACTTGTAGATCTTATTTTGTGGAAAAATGTCAGTTCATCGCATTACTCGCTAACAACGTAAATTACGTAGCTTGTCTATTTAACTTAATTAATAGCATTAGGTACGCTATTGCGCCACGCTTCTATCATAATAATCGCTATTTCGTGAATCGCACATCCTAGCGACATTGTAAAATGCCCATGTTATTTTAGCGTAACTACACAATTTGCATTATAAATTCGCCACAGTATTGCTTCTCATTATTCAAAATGATGATGGGTCAATTATTTGTACAGGTCACGTATATGCGATACGATACAGTGCTGGAGCACGCCTACCTGCCGCATTTAGAGGCCTCGGCATTAAGGCTGCCTTTGGACAGTGATCGTTACTACTTGCTGGTCGTGCTGCCCTCACGGGGTGGCGCCCCGGAGCTTGGTCGGCTGCTGTCCCGAATGGCCCGCGAGTCAGATTTGTCCGATATCTATTCGGTGCTGCGCCCTCGCCGTGTGAAGGGAATCGTACCAAGCTTCACTGTTAAAGGTCATGTGACCTTAACAACAGATTTACAGAAGGTAACAACTATTTAATCTTACAAATACTTTAGATAAAGCACGTTTTTATTATTTGCGCAGTTCATTTGTATACATATATTTGTTGCATTTGTACACATATAAGAAGTCAATTATAGTACCCAAAGAAATGATGGGCCCAGTGGTCAACTTGGGCAAATATGAAGCACAGCACCTAAATAGATAAACACATCAAAATGTTTTTGACCTAGTTTCGGCCAAGCTAACAAAAAGCTACGTTTATGTCGCTATTAACATAATAATTACTTTGTAGATACCTGCATAATTATATTCATCCTATGGTACTTACGCACATGTTGCGCTGTTGCATACCCATTTTTGAATAAGTACCTCAGTACCCAGGTATAATTATTGTGGTACCTTAGTACCTACCATCTGGTACTATCATTCGTACTTACACAGCACACTAAACTAGTGGGTGGGTAACAAAGAGTTCTCACGTGCCAGGAACAAATAGTATCCTCGTGCTGATAAAATATTAGTAAAAATCTTATGTAATTTAGGTACCTATTGTTTGCATTTTGAATTTGAAAATTATTGTGGTAAAGATAGTTGCTAACATTTGTTATTGACCTTCAGACCAGCTTAATGTTTTTGTAACAATGCTGTTTTTACGATGCAGATGAATTATTCGATTTCAGCTTGGTATTAGAGACGTCTTCGAACCTCGACAACGCGACTTTACGCTGATGACCAAGCAAGCAGGAGTGTACGTACGAAGCATTGAACAGGCCGTCTCCGTAGCTATACGCAAGTATCGACCGGATGATCAGAAGAAAAATAGTAAGTATCAACAGCTAACAAAATATAGGAAACGATGTGCAGATTATGTACCTATTAAATTTTACCTGTGTTTGATATGAACCCGGGGTACTGGTGGTTAGTTAGATAGATAAATATACTTATTTTTTGCAATGGAGACGTGTGGTAATGAACTTCAGGCCCTACCAACGCCGTTCCGGCTTGATCCATTTAATTGGGTACTACTCCACTGGATGTGCTGTAGGCGTGTGTGCGTGCGTGGTCACCCACAAGACTGGGGTCACTCGACGTCACCGTTACGGACCGACGCGCCGTGAAGCCGTGATACGACTCAGCCTGCGCCTCCCGCCGGAAAATCCTTGACTGTTATTGTTGCGCTCCGAAAATCAACTAACAGATTTGGAGTGCACAATTAATTCCATTGGTAATCTCACAAAACACACATGATTCATTGTCTTAAAACCTTCGCTGCAATTCAACCGACAGTAACAGGGCCACTTGTAATATTGCGAAACCACTGCAATAACATAATCGTGGCGGTACTCCATATTAACAATGTTAAATGTTAACAACGCGCGAAGACAGATTTCGTGTCCTCGTTTTCCGGCGCAGGGACTGAGATAATTGTTACCAAAAGAGTTCTAAGCTAAGGTGTCAAGTGGCGAGAGCGTGCCAGCCACATCCATTGTCTCGTAGTGGTGGCGTAACGCGGCGACACGCGCATTTGCGTCCATTGATGCGCGGGCGCACTGCTCTCCGTATTCCATCGACAATTAGGGAAATCACCCGCTGCAACATCAATGCGACCTCAATGCTTAATCGCGAGATGAAAATGATGATTTGCAGATAGTCCGTCATTTCAATTACATAAACGAGTTTAACTGAAAAAATCACTAGATGATTGTTTCCGGTAGGTACAGTTGGCTTATTCTGTTTCGATTGTTATGATTAGAGCCCCCTATTTGTACATTATGTGTATAGCAAGGCCGTTTATTATTAAATATTAATGTAATTATTGCTATAGTCATGTGTGCAATAGCCAGGTTACAAGTTAATGTCTTTTTATCCGTTAGAATCTCTACATATTGAATGTTAGACAGGTACCAATATAAAAATCGGACTACTTACTTTTCAATCGAAAAGCTATTGCTTTAGTGACATTGTCGAACACAATTCTCAGATCCGATTTAGGTAATTATCTACTCACGCAGTCACAAATGTATGTATTTAAGCACATTTTTTATAGGAGCACTTCGACTTTAAATAAGTAACTCATACTTATTATACCTAAGTACTCTTTGGTTTATACGTAGGTACCTACTATAGGGGAATAAAAAATGCGTGATGTTATGGTATGAGTCTCGTCATCATTACGATAACAACAAAACTTACGGAATGGTCACCTTAGTTTATTTATGTACACTTGCAGTACCTATCAGAGATGTTACTACGCTGCCGACCATTAATTGGCCTACGCGCCTCCGGTTAGGTACCTCACTGATAAGGCAAAACTAACACCTTCGCGAGTGTTGTCGTTTCACGCCAGTTTTCAATGAGTGCGTCATATCACTTCGCTCCGGGCGAGCTGGCCCATTCGTGTGCCTCAACCGCATGCCTAGCTCTCCTGGCTATCATGATTTCGAATAATTTACACACGCCAAAGCTTTTTAATTTCTAACGCAATTTATCTAAATACTAGGCAGGTACAAGTAATGATAACATCACGACTAATTCTCCGTAAGTACAGAATAGGTATGTAGAGGTGGAAATTATAATTATAATGTAGCGTCTACTCTATGCGTTGAACACGTTCCGATGTAAAAACATTTGTTTTTGTTCCAGGGTACGTATCAACTCGAGATCCTGTCATATTCTCCGCAACCTATCCGTTCCTCTACTTCGTGATGGATGCTAATATCCACGTGGCTCTTATGGCCGGCAAAATGGTGGACCCACTGAATTCAAGGATATTATAGTCATGCCAAAAACTAACTCGTTTTATTTTCTTTTAATTCATAACTCACTGAATTATTAGCATTATTAGCATATGCTGAATCCACACTATACCTAGGTACTTTGTGATAGTGCATGGGTAATAGTTAATATCAGTAAGAAAACATAACATTATTTACTTAAGGAAAAAACCGACCCGAAATCAAATAATACTAAAATTTACAATGTTTGTTTTCGTTATTTGAAAAATGATGAATCAAAATTAAACAAAATATTTTACTTTTGTTTTTATTTATACATTACACTTCTCACTTCGCTCTCTTGGATTTGATCTTTCTTAAGTAGAACTCAAGTTCCTTGCCTTCTAGGATGTAGCCATCAGCGCGACCGCACTGGCCAGGCCGACTCGCCACACACGCTGTAAATGAAATTATTATCATATTAACACAAGTTTAGTTTAACATAGATAATATTTGGGTAATTATAAGTTCTCAGAGTAACTATGACAGAATAGATCATGCAGCTGCTAGACTGTTCCCAAAACGGTACCAGTCCATGTTGCAGCCTCAAAACTTCTCGATAACATCATTGAAGTATATAACAATAGAAATTTATTATGTTTAAAGGAATGATTTTAGTTAGTTACAAAACAAGTATGCCAATACATTGTGAAAGTTCCTCACCTAACAAACGTCCAGTATGGAACTGCTCCTCCAATGCACTTTCAACCTTTGAGAGGCGCTGCCTTGCCAAATACTTCTTGGCGGTCTTCTGGCTGCGTTTCTTGTTGATGATTGCATCTTCTGCCTCAGTCTGGAAAAATATAAAACAAGAATAAGTATTAAATAAAATCCAATTTAATTATTTTAATATCATGATGATGGTAACCTTCTCAGATAGTGCCACAATCACTGTTCAATCATCTGACACGCAAACTATCATCATTTGGTTGTTAGAAAACTTGGTTTGGATAATAATCAGGTATATTTCCTGTTTGTTGACTTGTCTAATAAACTCAATACATATCATAGCATATAACTTAACATAGCAAGTAGAAGATTTGGTGATGCAGAAATAAATAACATGTGGACTAACTAAAATCATGGGTTACGTGAACATACTGAGAAAAGCTCTACTAGTTTCGAACCACAGAGGGGTTATTCCTCTTTTAGATTTTAGTTAATTTAGTATGTCTCATGATAGTTATTATACTGACTTGTCATTTTATTTTATAGTTAAACAATAAGAATGCCATGTGACCATGACTTTTACAAGGAAACAAAAATACCACTTTTAGTAAATTGTGTTAGTTCATATTATTCTCTATATCATCATAACAAAAGCAAATACCATTTCATAATAATTAACAATATGTAAACACAGATGTTTCTACTAAATAGCCATTTTCCCCATTTATTACTTTAAAGTTAATGACAAGTAATTATTAACATAAGATATCTTGTGTATACAATACATTTTTATTAATATTTTCTCTATTCTCTACACAAAGAACCTCAAACTTCTTAAAAGTAAACAAAGAATCTTCCAGCCTCAAACTTCAGACAATTTTGTGAAACATTCACACATGGAACTAGTTACCCAGCTATGTTATTGCATTAATTTTAAGCCAAGAACATTTTAAGTATCATAGAGTTTTATATGTCTACATAAAACTAACAAATTGTTGTCAACAAATACAAGAAACTTACCAGTTTAGCACCCTTCTTCCTTCCGAGTGGGAGCAGATAGTGGGACTCATACCACTGTCTGAAGGGTGTAGCATCCACCACAACAATGGCGTTTTTCACCAGGGTCTTGGTACGCACCAACTCGTTGTTGGAAGCATTGTATACCACATCAATGATACGGGATTTGCGGGTGGAGCCTGAAACGGTAAATTTGTTGTTATATAAAGCAGAACCTGATATAGAGCTCCTATGGTCATATTATCCCAAATTGACAAGGTTGAGCTACTCACATTCTGATCCCCATGAGAAATTGCCGGTGTCTAAACGCAGTGCACGATATTTCGTGTTACCACCGCGAGAGCGCACTAAGTGGATGCGCTGGGGGCCAAGCTGCAAAACAATCACAATAATCGATAAATACAAATAACCTCAAAATGTAATACACATCGTGGATCATGACATATCTAGAACGATAACAATAATTAGCTCAGAATACTTTTAGAAACTTTACACATGGTTGAACTAAATAACATGTCAAAATAGGTTATGTTTCAAGAACTCACCTTAGTGTTGGCAGCCGGGCGTCCTAACTCGTACTTCCTCTTCTTACGGATGGGCGCGCGCTTGCCGCCCGTAGCTCTCCGTTTATGCCAATGATCACGACTGATACCTGCATTACATTAACATCATCATCAAATCTGCCCAACACTTCACCGCAATTCATAACACAGAATTCAGATAATTCACTAAGTTTTAGAAAAATACGCATAGAAATATGGCCCGTAAAGATTCCACAATTAAATGTTCACAGTGATTAATACTAAACATTGATATAACTGTTAATATTTTTGGATTTAAATAAAAATTCATCCGAACTAAGTTACTCACCCATCTTGGCTGAGTCGAAAAAGAAAAGATTGTTTGACAGACGGAACTTCAATACTTCCACTACTCTGTTTGTAGTCTATGGTTCGTTGTCTATGTGCGACCCAGAAAAATTGTTCAAACGGGTTTTTTTGTACACTCCGATATTATATTACAAAGACGAAAGAGATTATGTTTTCTTCGAAAATTCTTATAATAAATTGTAATGAAGAAATAATCTTTCGAAGACATTAAATTATTGTTTTGAGTCGGATCTAAAGGACCGCGTCCACAAGGCGCCCCTTTGAAATAGTTACAACTTCACTTAAAGCAAAATTTTAGCTTAGATATTAACGCAAAACATTATAATACTATATCTAGAATTTTACTTATATTATTCCACAAAATACACCAGACACAGTTCGCAAACGTTTAGTCTCGACGTAAAACAAATGCAATTCAAAAGAATACGATTGTCAACATTTTGAATTTGGAAGTATTGTTTTTTTAACTATTAAATACTTCTTGTACAGTAACGTGTAACTGACACTCCGTATGGATATGTGACAAAAATAGGAAAAATTAATTATATGCCTCGAATGATATGATAACACATATTAATATTAATATTTTTATTTGATTTTTATGATGATATTTATTGCATTAAAACTTTACAGTGTCAGTTATCTGTATTTTTGGAGTTCATAATTTATGGTCCACCATTTTTATATTTATTTGGCATTGACAAGTTTGACAACTAAAATAATTATCTGCTGCGAGCGATCGAAACCAAGCAAGCGACGCGTGTTAGAAGTAGAAAGAATTTCTCTTTGATTTGCTTGACTGAATAAGCCGTTATTGTAAGTGACGAATATATAAGGTATTAAACTGTTTTCTTGTGCTACTATTCTTCAATAATGTCTTCAGATTTCTATATCCGTTACTATGTTGGTCATAAAGGAAAATTTGGTCATGAGTTTTTGGAATTCGAATTTCGCCCTGATGGCAAACTCCGGTATGCAAATAATTCCAACTACAAAAATGATACAATGATCCGTAAAGAAGCATACGTGCATCCTTGTGTAATGGAAGAACTTAAAAGGATAATAGTTGATTCAGAAATAATGCACGAAGATGACCGTTTGTGGCCACAACCAGACAGAGTGGGAAGACAGGTACATAGCCATTTTTTGTTTATAATCTAAATTTATTGGATAAGTCCATATTTAAGATCTAATTTGTGATGTAAAAACATAATTTATGGGAACAATGTAGATACATATTATAGAAGAAAATGAGCAAACTTGATTTTTTTAGGTTACAATTAATTTGGGTACAGTTCCAATTTTGAAATAAACATTGTGTAAACAAGTAAATGGTATACCATATACCAAACAATTTTATAGGTATACCTATATATTATTTACTCTAATGATTTTTTTTGTAGGAATTGGAGATTGTAATAGGCGAAGAACACATTTCCTTCACAACATCCAAAACTGGATCACTGGTTGATGTAAATCAGTCTCGTGATCCTGAAGGACTCCGTGGTTTCTATTACCTAGTGCAAGATCTCAAATGCTTGGTGTTCTCCCTCATCGGTCTTCATTTTAAGATCAAACCAATATAGCTGTATGTCTCTTGTATTTAAGTGAAATAAAATTTGTCCATGACTTTGGATTTTCTTTATCGCTAGATATGTATCTATATATGTATATAGTTTACAAAATTCACTAATTGTGTAAAACAGTAAACATCTTTATTAATTAAAATATTATAGAAGTACTACTCTCGGCTTGGTATTGCCAAAATAATATCAATGCATAAAGGATGAAAGTGGACATCATACAAGAAAGAAAATAAGTGTGGGAGAGTCATGCTTCGGCATGAATGGGCCGGCTCGACCGGAGTGATACCACGGCCTTAGAAGATGAACGTGAAACAAAGTTGTGTTGTGTTTTGTCGTGTGAGTGAGGTTACCAATTCCTCCCTCCCTTTCCCCAATCCCTGAATCCCCAACAATCCTCAAATTCCTAATCCCAAAAGGCCGGTAACGCACTTGTAACGCCTCTGGTGTTCCAGGTGTCCATGGGCGACACCGATTGCTTACCATCAGGTGATCCATCTGCTTGTTTACCGGCTTATACAATGAAAAAATGAACCATAAGGTGGATATATTTTTTTATAGTTTATTGTTTTTTCTTTGACTCCTTCGCTTTTATTCATTAACTATCATATATAATGTACTAGCAGACCCAACAGCCGTTGTCCTGCCTGCATATCCACTTGAATATATAAACAAAAATTCATTCAAATTAATTCAGCTGTTTATGATAAATAACCTAAACATCAACTGCAAGAAAACAGTAAGAGTCTGACACTCCCTCCCGCCTCACCCAGGTGGGAGCAGTCATTCGATGATTTTCCCCCTAAAAAAAAACATCGAGTGCAGCACCATCTGCCGGGCTGATTTGTGAATCTAAACCATTCCCCAATCCCCTTGAACACACAAAAAGTTTCATCAAAATCGGTCCAGTCGTTTGAGAGAAGTTCAATGACATACACACTCACAGAAGAATTATATATATTAAGATATCTAGTTGATTGATCCCAAGTGTGAAATCATTGGAAATTATTATAAGTATCAAGTTTATGGCAATACTTCAATTTTAAAATTTTGGGTTAAGTAATTTAAGTTAGTTTTCTAAGTAAATAAAATAAAAATCCATAAAACATAAATATAATTTAAATCATAAACAAACATCGAAATGTAAGACCATTGATATATTTTTAAATCAATGTAAGTCAAATGTTTAGTTGTAGTCAAATCAATATATGTTTTTTCATATTGGCAATACAGATACTTATTGCCGTCATAGAGTATAATATTATGGAGTACATACAGACTGTAAAGAAAGAGTCTGATCTACATACTAAGGTTTAACGTACATTTACAAAAACATGGTATCGTATATCATAATCTTACATGAAAATTATACTGAAAACGTTTCCATCACACCACATTAATTAGGCAGCTGTACCTGTGCACCAAAACATTCTTTCAAACTACGCTATAAGAGTTTGTAATAAAAATCTTTAGAATGCATATAAGGATAAACTTTCTAAGAAATAATAAACTGAAGTTCAAACCTTTTTTATTTACCTTTTCTTAACAGAGTTGGTACTTTGTGTCTATTTTACTCCACGGTTATAATGTTTACATTTTTGGTTAGGTTAATATTTTACCTATGATTAACTTTTCTCAGCAGATGAAACGATGTGATTGGCAGGCATCATCTATTGACCAATCAGAGAAGTCGATGCGTTAAAAGGATTTGGTTGTATGTGACATTGACAACAAAATTACGTTTCTTTCAAATAAATATACTAACAATAATTTCTACACATTTTGTATTTATTCAAATTATAAAAACAAATGATACTTACCGTACAATTACTATAATGTTTTTTATTCAAAAGAAATGTAAAATACTTCAATTTAAAATTATTAGTCTGATTTTTAATAACGCTAGATTCTAGTGGGATAATTATTTTAATAAATTAAATTCAACTTTCTGTATAGATAATAATATAAAACCATGTCTACATTTCAAAAAATCATATTTTTCCTGAAAAATTCTTATAATGGGCTTTGATAATGAAAAATAAACAAATTAACCGGTTTTTCCTACGTGAAAAGATACTTGAAAAGGAACGTTTTTGGCATTATGTATTTATGTTTATAGTATAGGATTTGCGCGTTGCGCGCGCATCGCATCTGCCCGACCGACCGATTATGGCGGACAGGCAGTGAAGAATGTTTGTCGTCTTTTCTAAATCAGAAAGTATCGACAGCAGCCAATGGCATAAACCGGGTTTTTTGTAAAAATTGTACATTGTAAATAGTTCTGTGTACATATAGTAATTATATTTGTGCTCGTTTTGTTTAGAAATTCTGTGAATAGTGTATTATTTTGAGTGTTTATTCAGTTCAGTTCTCGACGCCGACTTATAGCTAAATCCTAACGTTAGTACATTAGTAAAACTCATCTTACTTCAAATTTCGTTTATCTAGTAATTTTGTATCCTAGAAATCATTGATTTCACTTCTTGTCTTTGTTTCGATCCGTCAAGGAGACCGTTGCAGAGGTGCAATATTTTGGTTTCCCTTAGCGGCTGTCACCGTGCTTTGATAAAACTACTGTCATTACAAAGACAAAAAGACAGATTTAGTCACCAAATATACACAATAACGAGATCTGGTTACTGTATTTAGCGTATTAGATCATGTAAATCGGTTTAATTACACATCTGGCTGTATTGTTATTGAAAGTAGCGATATTTGTATAAAGTGCAGATAGCGAGACATTTTGTGTTTACGGTTACGAAGAATCGAAGTGTTGTGAAACTGAATGCTCGAACCTCACGGTAGCCCAATGAAGTGGCCGGGAACGGGAGCGGAAGAAGAGGCGGGCGAAGCTAGCTTGCAGAGCACGCGCGCTTCTCAGGCTCGGAGCCAGGACGATGCCACTGTGCACTACGTGTTTCAACGAGAGCCACAGGAAGGCGAACTGCCCTCACTAGCACCTAAACAACGTTGGGCCGTTGGCGACGATACTATTGCAGAGGTTGGTTGATCATTCAATGTATAATTTTATATATCTTATAGCAATATAACCTACAAATCAAAATGTTATTGATATTTACTTTCTTGTTGAGTAACTAATCTTGTGTTTTGTGTTCTAAGTAACTCATTATTTACTTATTTCCATTTCAGAACCAAGATAAATGGAAGAATTCCAATCCTATGACCATGAACAATATGCACCAACAAGCTCAAGTGCAACTTAAAAATTCACAAGCAAACCAACAGCAGTTCATTAACCAGGCTATAGCTTCGTCTGGTGGCACATTAGCTATGAATCCATCAGTTATTGGAAGTCACCCAGCTCACTTGACTACCAACATGGTACATACCCAGTTGGCTCCATTGCAAAATCCAACACTTGGAAACAATTTAGCAATTCAAAACAATGCAGTGATGTTGCCACAGTTGCAAGGCATGCAGAATGCTCAACAGATGGGACAGCAAGGATTATATGACATTCATCAACACCATGGCAATCCTATGCAAGCTATAAATGGCATTGGGAAGAACAATGAACATCTCATGTATTTGGGTCAGGCTGGCATGATGGCCCCTGGAACTAATCAGTACCTTCAACAAGGACAAAATCAACTTGGATTGACTCCAGTGGCAGCCATCAGAAATCAGGTAAGAGTTGTATTATTATATTGACAAGCATGCATCTTGACAGCTTTTCTAAACTGTAATGACTTGCATGGTAATGTAGAAGTTTCGTTAGGATAGTCGTTACATTCCTGTGAATGATATAGTAGGTTTAGTATATAGATCTGTTGTAACAGAGTTTCAAACTAATCAAAAGTTTTTTTAAGTGTCAATAAGTCAGTAGGATAATTTAAAACATATTTAAGATAGTGCTTGTCTTATAATGTTTTATTAAAAATGAACATGCTCCAAACAAACAAATTCTATTTAGATGATATATAACATTTTTCTTAACTGTATGTTGGTAACATAATGTAGTTGAATGTCAACAGCTGGTCTGTTCAGAAAATTGATTGATATTTTTAATTTCTTTTCAATAGTTATATAATTAAGGTAATTTTATGAATACACTTTGATTGGTTTAAAATGCAACATAACTTTATAATAGTTTAATTAACAGAACTAATTAGTCAGGTACTTAGTTAATTTCTTTCTAATTGTATTATGTATGTGATACATGATGATATTATTTGAAAAAACACAATACATGAAGTTGGTAAATAATGTCAATGTGTAAAGTAACTATTCAACACATTTTGCATAATTTCTATTTTCTTTGTATTAAGTAAACTTTATACCAAGTTTTGAAATGTAAAGTTTTGATATGTTGTGTCTAATATACCTAATTAGTCCTCAATCATAAATAATTTTATTTAGCCGTAGTTGCTATTCCTGGCATTATATTTATTTTTGCTTTACTGGTTTTAGACAGCTTATAAGTTCATTAAAATGTTATAAGAAATGTCTATTTAATATTTAAACTTTAAATATTATTTATTACATTGAGTATAGTTATGGCTTTCTAGTATATAGAGAAAGATGACTTTATTATTACTGTTTTAATTTTTGTTTTATTATTCTTGCCATACTGGAATTCTGCTCTGTTTGTTCTTTTCTAAGTTCCCATAGACAAGCCCATGTTTTTACCAATCAATCATCACTATCATAATGATGATAAATGTATTATTTTATTTAATACATTATTAATTTTCTATGTTATACTTGTATTTTTGATTTATTTGGGTAATGTATTTTACATGGGCCATAGATGCCTGAAATAAAGAAATAATGAAAATAATGTTTACTCTGCTGGTTAACTCACTGATCTAAATGTTATGAAATACTTAGCATGTACACATTTTATTAATGTAGTTTTTTCTAAAAGACTTATTGACGATAAATTGTTGAAAAGTTGTTCTATAATACCAAACAAATTAGATACTAACAAATGCTCTATGAAAACTATACCATAACCATACCATAAACACAATTGTATAATAACTTACTGGGACTGCCCCAATGTTAAACAGATGATGTAATTAAAAAAAAGTAACAAAAAACATATCAGACATTGTTCATGTTTGCAAATCTTTAACATCCCTGTACATATTAGAAGTAATTAGATAACCCTTTAGAATGGACAAGATAGGCATGTCATTGAAATGTCAAGTGAGAATGTTACTGGAACAGCCAATCTATTTATTTTACAATTTTAAAATGTTTCTATTAGTCCCAAAAAGGTCCAAACGAAATCAATGAGCAGGCTTTCCATTTGAAAACAGTTCAAATCACCTGTAGTGAAATTGATAAATGTAGATGACCTGATAAGAGATGGTTTGCCAGAATCGTCCCTTGATGTTTTACTATCTCTATTTACCCCAATAGAAGACAGGACTACGCCTGTCTCCCATAAATAACTAAATTGGCATAAACTTATACTTCAATAAAAATATTATAAAGCTGAAGAGCTAGTTTGTTTGAACACACTTAATGTCCAGAGCTATAGGTTCGAATTCAATAATTAATAATTTTTGTATTGGATAGTCCATTAATCGAGGAAGGCTGTAGACTAAAACATCACGCTACAAATCGATTATAGTTGTGAAGAATGGGTGATACCCGGGTTTACCGTGGGGGGTTTAAACATATGTAGGGACTTCTTTTTGTACTTTTCTGTGCTTTTGGTTTTTCCGATATTTGATTTGAAAAATGTTTGAAAATCAAACTTGTATCTAAGACAGGTGTTTTTTTCTGTTAAATTCTGCCTTTTATAATTTTACTTGTTGTTTAAAACCATTTTGGAAAAGTTGCAGATGTTTACAAACAAAAAGTGACAATTTTATGTGATCATACAAACATAAAATTAGCATTACTGTTGCCCTCTTGAAGGATAGATATTTCGAAATTGTTGAAACTTTTAAAATCATGATGCCCTTGAATTCTAGGTTTCATTAAAATTGTTTTCATGAATTAGGTTTTGAAAATTTGTAATGGGAACCTGCGCCGCGTTAAACTTATTACACGTAGACGCTGAGAAACCTGAAAAACTTTCTGTCCTTATCATATACAGATCCATGTACCTACCGTGTCTAATTTGATATGTGTCATTTTCTATGAGTTATATTTTATGTATTAAAACGCCATCAATGATTATTAGGAAACGAAGGTGTAATATTGTAGTTTACTTTACCCTGTTCGGGATTGTTGTAACTTTAAGAATTAAGAATTCTTTAAGATTAAACTAGCTGCTCCTGGACGGCTTGATCAGCTGGTCGGCTTTTGTTAATGGTAGCATTATGTCTGTAGCCTGTAGCCTGTAGCCTTCACCTTGATAGATGGACTATTCGACATATAAATAATTATTTAATTAGAACCAGTAGTTCTAGAGATTAGCGCGCTTTATTATTTTAATTAATTTTCTCACAATTATTATTTACACGGTCCATCCATGTTTATTTTTCTACAAATTAAATATTCACGTCAAAAAAGAATCGCGAGAAGTCACGGTATCATAGACAAAACTAAAACTGTAACTTAAAACTAACATTACATCCATTTACGACCGTCCTCAAATATCATATCTGTCTATAAAACAGCATAAGATAGGATTTTGTGATATTTTGTGGAGCATAATTTTGTAATTTTTGTTTCTGTAGTACCTCATTTGCAAAGTAAGAATTACATATCCGAAGTTGTCCAATAATATGTCGTCGCATAATCAATTGTAATACCTAATAACTGTCTCATTTTTTCACCCGCAAAATAGGAAGCCAAACAAGTTGAAACTCAGTCGGAACATAAATTGAACTCCATAGCTCGACACTACCTTTTCTACCAAAAATAAAAGAAGAATTTTATTAAACTGTCAAACACTGCGTGGACACCGGTATCCGGAAACCTTTTGTTCTTTAATTGTGTCTATAATGACGGTAGTCAAAGGGTACTCAAAATTTCTACCTTTTACCGCATTTTAAAATAACTATTTCAGCGTTACTATTTTTAAAATCATGTTAGACAATGAATATACATCAACCTTTTTTAAAACAACACTTGATGTAATCAGTTGTGATGTTTGTGGGGTTTTGTTGCTGTCTGCCTTACACAGCAATTCTTCAAAGATGGTACCATATTTTCACTGATCCTCTCTAAATATCTATAATGGATGTGAATGATTATATTTGTGTTACAACTGGGATCGGAGGTATACATAAATGTGCTCTACTGTAACTGAAACTGTAAACTCTGAACCGTATCAACGAAGCGTTGCACGGCTACTGGACTCTTAAGTATAAAAGATAACTACCCTCACGCAACATCATACCTTTTATATTCCGAAGGGTTAAAAGGGTTGTACATTAAATAAATAAGGGGTGAGCCTGTCTCTGCTACTAAGACAGTAAGAAAATTAACAGAAAAATAAACAGCCCCAAGATTATTTTGCCCGACCTGGGAAAAGAACCCGCTATCTCTTGCTCAACAATCGCGGCTTAGGCGTAGCGGCTGCTGTATCAACGAGCTATAATAATGTTGTTCAGATGCTTCTTGATTATGATTGCACCCGACTCAGTAATTTGTGGTACATACTAATAAAATCAGGGCTACCAACAGTGCCTAACGGCCGAAATTAACAAATCTCAGGATCAATAAAAATAAACTCATGTTAAAAATCGAGCTTAATACCAAGATATTGCATTGAGATTGGTTGTTAAAGGTTCGAGCCCGGAAAAGCTCTTCGACACAGCGGTATCTAACACTTTTTTGGAAGGATTGATGACGTGCTGTGATGTGTGAACAATGAAGAATTCAAACCCAGCTTCTCAGATGGTAATCGTTGAACTAGTTGCAGTGTCAGCGTTTTCTTGATAAACCAAAGCCTGAGTTTGAGAAAAGACGAGCTTTTCTCTTTATTTACTTCGTCCTATTTGATTGGTAAAGTTACGTAATGTTGATCAGTTAATATGGGGACTCGCATATAGGTGTTGTGTAATAAAATAATATTCTTTCGAAAAAACGAAGCTTTTACTCTCCCTGTCGCTGTTGTGGTGCAAAATTACGTTGGAATTGGAAATAGGGTTTTTGCCAACAACGGCGTTTTACAAGTGTACCCATGTTTCATCTCGGTTGTGATTTTGTGAGTCTTAAAAACCTAGACTAATGATAAAAAGTTGGCAGGCCTCGCTTGTGTGTGTGTTTACGCGTAGGTTTGGAAATGGAATTTCTGTAAGTAATTCCTTCTAACCATGGGAGCTGCGTATCTTTATTCTCATATTTAAATTGCCTTCTAATACGGATTATACGGCGCTAAATAAAAATTCTGTCTTCTGAGATAAATAACGCACCATTCATAGGTTGTTAGAGGAACTTATTCAATTCTATCTTTTAGGTGACCGACTTACTACTGGTTTGAGTGGTGCTCATCTATTGTCGATAAGCTTACCGTTCTAGAATTGCGATTCCCTTCTTAATTGTTATTGATTTTGATCACTTCATAATTTTCTATAAATGTTGGTTGTATGTAAGTATCTAAGTATCCAAGTATCTAATAATATGTTATTTTTGCAAAGAAAAGTATGATGGCATATTATGCTTACATTCCTATACTGTACTGACAGTATTTAAAATATCTTTATGCTTAAGGCTACATAATAAGACCATTTATTATAACGCGCTTTGTAAATTTTGTTGCCGTCGAAGTGTCGACAAGTTATATCAAACACGTCACTCTCTTTAATTTTTCAACTTTTACTAGGTCACTAAGTAAATAATAAATAAAAATTAAACATTAAATCAACAAGGGCTTATAATGTATCTTGGTCAATGAAATTATTCTAACTACAATAAAAGCTTTCATCGACGCTATAAGAACGAGTTACATATCATTTATACATTAGTAAAGAAATATTTTTAAATGTTCGAAAACATAAATAACAAACTTCATGATAATGTTACTTGAACCACTGTGCGTACCGCACCACCTTTAACCATAGACAAAAACATCTGCAAAACAAAAAGAGCGCGCCTCCAGAATTTGTAAGTTCTATGGTTGCACAGTTGGTTTGCACGCCATCTATCAACCGCGAGCAGTAAACTTAGCACCGTGCGACGCTCCCTCGTATGGGGAATTTTGACGCAGGCGCTGTGGTCGGCGTACGTCCTTTGTTCGAAACAAGTCAACATTGTATTATTTGAGTTTGGATCTTTCTAGTTTTATTTCGCTGGTTATAAACATTTTAGTGTAAGAAATGTGCTTTTTAATTGTTGTGGTTAGTGTATATGTTATATAGAACTAGTGTTTCACGTAAAAAGTGGTATTTTCTCACAATAAGCTTTCGTTGTAGTACATGACTGAGCTTTAGGCGGATTGTACGCATGAAACCCTTGAGCGACTTTTTTTTCGAAACTGATGTTAAGGATATGGGCCCCGACATGGTAAGTTTTATGGTGTTATATGGTAGATTAGACAAGTTGGATGCTGTTTTAAGTCATGAAGTTACAGAATTTCTGGTTTTTTCGCGCAACAGGTCCGTTTTTGTTTTGTTTACTTGTCACCGGCGTCCGCCATTTCTGATTCAGAATTTGTTCACCGGTTTAGATGAATAGGATTTTTACGCTGTAGCGTACTGAATCTGACTTCTTTAAAGTTTTCGTTGATGTTATGGTACTAAAACTTCGAAGTCAATAATTTTGTAAAAATGCATGGATTGTTTCACAAGATAGAAATGTTATTGTCGCCATTAGGGCAGGCAGCGGTGTGTGTGACCAATTAATTACCTACGAAGCTCCTTCACTCACAGTTCGGTTACGTACCTACTTATTATGAGTACTAATACATCGTAGGTAGTAAATACGCATCTAATTGTCAGGCTTCCTGAATGTTCAGTTCATGAATGATAGTAAATATTTACAGTAGTTATCAATTAAAGTTGTTATTAATGGAATAGATTCTTGTCGTAGGTTAACAAAACAACTCAATGGAAAAAAAATAATCCTATTAGGAATAGTTATCAAATGTGATAGGTAGAGGATAATTGACTTTATATTTGACTAAAGCTTAACTTGTATTTTTTCAGTACCTAGTTATTTAGCTGATGGATTTAAAAAGAGATTAATCAAATTGAACTAATCAAAACATTACAATTATTTAATGGAAATAGTAAACTAAATCTATCATTAACAAGTACAGCTGATTATATTTGTACATATATCATGAATATACAGGAGGATAATCCGAAGAGACAAAGTGTGCTAAGTTCTACAGTATGTGTCATTTAGAAATAATATATTTATAAATATTAATCTGACATAGTACAACTATGCTTTTATCCTAAAAATTGGTCATTATAAATGTTTTAAGAACTTCTCTTGTATGAATTTGCATGTTTACGGCATGTTTGCACACAGTAACATGGATGTAGTAAGTCAGATAATCAGATTATGTTTATGATAACACAACTTATATTGCATGAAGTATTAGAGTAGGCTATTGTCAGCTTCAGTTGGTTAGTTTTTAAATCAGATATACTTTATGTTGAGATTGCAAGTGATTAAGGTGGATGTTTTATAATGTTGACCTATAACAATAATCTAATAAGAATTACAAACTTAAAAAAAAAATGAAATGAAAATACATTATACATGGTTATCAATTACCATAATGTTATGTGTAATATGAAACAACAATAGGATGGTTAAACAATATTCAAGTTGCCTACTTACAGTTGATCAAGTTACACTTGATAACATTGTGATAGCACATCATTTTGAACTCTTTTCCTGACTTAACATAACTTGAAATACAATACAAGATTAAATATAATTGCTGCTGAGATTTAGATTTATCTAATTATGATTGCCTTTGGCAAATTTTTTGTAGATCAAGTATTGAATAATTTGCTAATGCATACTAAATACCTTTTGCCATGTATAAGGTTTATTTACGGGACTCTTAATGTTGATAACAATAATCTTCACATGAAAAGTTTTTGAATATTGATTGAATTAGACATAATCTGCCAAAATGAACTTTCACATAATAATTATAGGAATTATGTATTGAATTGAAAAATCGGTCTCATACCTAACTATAGATTTTTGTATGTGTTTGGATCTCATTGGTGTGAGTGATAATGCAGCTGATTAGATTCTAGGGTTAGTCAAGCATTGTTAAAGTTTTCAAATCTCAGTAATAGCACAATATCTGGAATCGTGGTTAGTGAATATACTATAGGCTCAGTCCCTATTACATACAACTCATTACATAACTAATTCATTGCCTTCATGGATAAGGTGTATCATTGTGTACATAATCTGTTATGTATGTGCTTTTAATTTTTATAACTTAACGATCTTGGTACTCCTAAAAACAAACAACTTAAAACAGTATATGATGATGTCTGGATAGTCAACTAGCTTCAACCAATTCCTTTTTATAGGTAGAATAGTAATTCTTTAGTAAAAGTATACTTCATGCTACAACACTTAAAAACAATAAAAACAGGTCAATGAAACTACAAGGGAGAACTAGTATAAGTAAGAAAATAGAACAATAACTGCTGGCCCTGCAGCAGCAAGCCTGCATGTTTATGTGTACTAGACAGTGAATGGATGTAATTTGTTGATATATATTTTTTGTAAATTCCTCCCACTAACATTTATATTCAATATATGTATACATAGCTGTCTCCTTATATTTATATTTATGCATGTCTATGTGTAGGTAATAGCAAGGTTTTTTAATTAATTTGCTACATTTGTTGTTTCATTTATGTGTGATCAGTTCACTATGGTGTGATCAGTTTTGTGCGAGGAATTACTACAAATTTATAAAATTAAAGAATAATGTGAGGTTAATAATAAATAATTTTTCATTCAATAATAATAATACTTTGAAACAAGAGCACTCATCCCAGCTGCTTATAGTCTGAACGACTGATTGAAATAAAAACAGGAAAAAAAATGAGATTAATATGTACTTTGACCTTTGTAAAAAGTATTATTTTAAGACTTATTTCCCTTCTGAGTGCAAACAGTTATGACTTCTCTATACATATTATGTAATAAACCTGCGATTTCTCAAAATTATTAATTTAGTTTAGTAACATAATTTATCATTTTCATGGTTTTTTGGAGAGTACAAAAGTATAGTTGTATAGTTGTTGCTTATCAATATTTAGAAATGTTTATCGTTGTTAGATTGCACCTGCTGCAAAAAAACTATGGGACAAAGGCCCTGGTGCTGGCGGCGACAGCAAGGGCCCTCCTCACCTGCCGCCCCTACAGTTGAACCCAGAGCAGATGTGGCGTGATCCGACCTGGTCCGCGCAAGGTTCGTTACACTTTGACACTCACTTATCGTACTACCAGAAATATTAAGATTCTGAAGTTTGAACTTAACTTTGATAGCATATAGCAAATAGCTTAGCCTCTTGTCTGTTGAAAGTTGCGGGTATAATGTGTTTTATACCGGGAGCCGGTGTTTCAACAGATAAAAGGTATATTTATTCAGTTTTTCAACTGACTTGGTGTTGATAATTATGTCAAATTGTCAATCGGTACATAAATACATGTAGGTAAATAAATTATAATTATTCATACTTTAATTGATATGATATATTTTTGTGGTTAATTTAAGTATGCTACACGGCGCTAAAAATTACGTTAAATGTAGAATCTGTCAGGTTCCAAAAATAAAAATAGATTTATTTATAATAGTTAAAAAATCCAATTCACATATTTATTATAAAAGTGCATTACACATAGTTGAAGACTGTTGAAATTATTTTAACAGTAGAACACAATGTGGGTGTGCCAATGATGGGCACACGGCGCGGCGTCGCTTTCCCCGGCGGGGATGCTGGCAGCATTCTGTCGCCGCGAGACACAGCTGGACTTGGTGTCAAAATGGTCGAATATGTACTCGGAGGATCTCCCACAGGTATGGTCTATGCCAATATAAATAAACACCATAATGTAGTATTTTGTCATTTGTTTACTCATTGAACAATCACGTATAAATTACTGAGATTATGTATAAAAATGCAAATTGTTTTACTATGAGAGCTTTGGTTAAAAAATTGTATCTCGTGGATCTGATTTATCTTAGCATCAAAATTGATTCAGCCGTTTCGGCGTCAGCGTAACAATATAAACTGAATTGTATATAGTTACAACGATTACAAGATGATTAATATTAAATTAACGTCTGTTGTATACGACTTTGTTGCAGTTTCATCAAGAATTAATTATTCACATCTCGTAGAAGCAGGTGGCGTAGCTACTGGTGGAGGTGAGAAGGTACCGGGTGTTGTCTCTGGATTACGTGGCATGGTACTAGAGGAGCGTCCTGAAGATAAATCTGCCTCTCCATTCGAAAAGGACTTGCATGAACTGCATGAACATGGATCTCTACCTAATGGATTGCATAATGGACAAGAAGATGACAAAGCTTTTAAGTAAGTGTTTTAACAACATGTTTTCCGAAGCTTAAGTGTTCTTTGCTTTAGCCCTGTGATGTTATATGATGCAATATAGGTGCAGAAAATAATTCAATTTGATACTTTGAACATAATGTTTCTTTTTAAGTTTAAATTCATATTTTCAATGAAAATATGTTTGTGATGCTTAGATAGTTGTAGGTTTATTAACTTTAATATCCACTTTTAATAAGTTCTAATAAAAAAAGAACCAGTTGGTTGTAACATTTTAAGGGATGAAAATATTAGTCAGAACTTCATATACTTGATATCACAAAGTAAGAATGATCATAGATGACCGATAAAGTAAACTGACAAAAAGGTGGCATATGCATGAATATCTAATCTAATTCACAAATTACGAGTTAAAGATATGTAAGATTGTCGCGAAGGCCATCGAGTGGCGAGTGCGAAACCATTCGGCATAGTGACGGAGGTAGAGGAGGACCGGGCGTGCGTGCGGCGGGCTGGCGGGCAATAACCGCGCGCGTGGATCATGGCCTCTGTCAATGCCACCGCCCGCCGCCGCGCGCCGCAACCTGCGCGCACGCCGCGCCGCTAGGGCACTCCAAATGTTTTATCACCCGACTGCTATGATTCACGCGGTAAACAGATTTCCTTTGATTAGGCTGCCGCGTCTGTACCAATGATTACTCATTATATGAGGTTGTATCTTCTTAACTTGGTTTTATTGAAAGTTTGTTATCATGTTAACTTAATTTAGGTAGTTAGTATTAGATTTTATTAAATCACTAAACTGCGTTGATATTTACGAGAATAAAAATCATTGAGGTGATGATATTAACCTTATCACAGTGAGAGTTTTTTGTATAACAATAATAGTGTATACATTTGTGTCTTCACACTTCACACAATACAAAAAAATTTAAAAGTTACCCCTCATTCCTAATGCACAAATGTATCGACACATACGCAGGCACTAATGGATTAATGAAGTTGAATTTACTAAACAGTAAATTGTACCCACGCAGCCGCACCCCGGGGTCCCGGCAGCCGTCCCCGGCGGAGGAGGAGGCGGGCGGCGGCGGCGTGCGCAACGGGGACGCGGCCGCCTTCCCGCTGCTGCCGCCGCACGCCATGCCGCAGCCGCAGCCGCTGCACCATCTCACGCATCTGTCGCACCCGCAGGTACTACCATACACGCCTCATTCATTGACACATGGCCTGAAAACAAATTAAGGCCTTCTGAATTTAGAAGTCATTTAAAATTACAAGGAATTCATCATGTTTCTTGTTGTTGTCACATATCTATAAATTAACGATCAAAACAAGTGTTACAAAACCATATTGTACTATGTACTCTGCTCTTTCCTTTACCAAAACAGCCTTATAATAGTGATGGCTATTGCTATGGCCATGGTCAGTAGTTTGTCCACCACTATTTGATATCTGAACATAACAGTCTTTCATACAATAGAGCTGGAATAAATTTATTAAGTGCTAAATTAGTTTTAATAAATCCGGTTTGATACATGTCCCTTCAATATAAGCTGCTAAACAAGCAACTTCATCCCTTCTGTTTAAGAATAGAAAGCCAAAAATAGACACAATATATTAACTTTACAATCCATTCAAAACTTTAAAAAGATTAACTGTAGGATATTGTTTGTAAACTATGGTTTAACTGATTATTATATCTGTTACAGCACCACCCGGGGATGTTAGGAGTGGCACCTCTCCAGGGATTACCACATCCACAACACCCACAAATCCATCCTGGTTAGTATAATGTTAGTGATAAATTAATTCAATTACTTTTTGTAATGACCAGTGCATTAAACTACAATGAATGGGTTTCAGGTATGACATTGAACGACTCTATGAATCAACACATTGAACTCGTTTTACAAATGGAACAGCATCCACAATTTGACAACAACAGCTTTGCAAGTACACAGCAGGTTAGTTACAATCTTTTATATTGTTTACATGCGGCTTTGAAAAATTAGTAGACAAGTTTATCGTAAAAAGTACCTAATGTTAACATAATTATGGTCTTTTTTGTGTAAAGGGAAAGGTTAAGGTGAACATATTAGATGTTAACACTCACTATTTGTCTCGTGTTGTAGGAACGAATCTGTTTATTGCCGTACATCGTTCCAGATTACAGTCTTAGTGCTATTAATTACACCATATTTCAAAGAACCACAATAGGAAACCTGAGTCCGTAATCCCTTACTGGTAGGCGGACCTACCTTCGTTTGTCGCGCTCGACAAATGAGACTCGACAACGCGCTAGGCGCAGTGGCTGGCCGACCGGCTGCTGCGCAACGTGTCGTGTAATACACATTTTTTTGTTGTTGGAGGAATTATATTCCTTCTAAGTGAGAATATTGCCCTTGCCAGGTAATCTTGGCAATAGATACACCTCTACATGGACCTAATCCCCTAAAGTAGAATACATTTGTCACCACCCGCACAACCCAATAGAGACCTGGATACTGCCGCCCGCATTCTCTGATAAACCTAATCCTGGGTTTTCATTACTCGGTTGCCAAGTGACAAGATTATGGCAAACCTCTCTTTTGTAGATAATACCCATAGTCCTGCAGCAGACTCACATAGGTTGTTGATGATGGACCTAATTGTTCATCCAGATTGGATGTGTGACGTGTGCACATGAAAACTGCACATGCGCAGGTCGCGACCTGTTCACGAGCAGCTCGAGAACAGCTCGCGAATGGCGTATTCACTAGACCTGGACGCATTTTAAGATGTACGATAAACCTTTGCGCGCTAGCAGCTGTTAGTGATTCATCATTATTATGAAAATATGCGAGATCATTAACTGGAATTGACACAAATTATTCTCAATTTAGTTTGTAGCCAATCTACTAATGAAGACAATCACTACGATCTGGTCGAAACGTTAAAAAATACATAGTATTACAAAGGAATTTACTTGAGTTTCTATGTCATTCTATTTCATAGTGTGGGTGAATAAAAATGAACAGATTTGTGCATGGTGTATGGCATACCCCATGGGTATCAATAGGCTTACCCCATGAGACTCATGAGTAATAAAAAGTAAGTGTTCTAGAATTCAAAACAGTGCCATTATGAAGTGCAAAAAAAAAACATAAATATAATAAATGCTTTTAAATTTTTCATCTCTGAAATAAGATAATAAACATCATCATGAATCCTACTAATATTATAAATGCAAAAGTTTGTGAGGTGTGTGTGTGTCTGTGTTTGTTATTCTTTAACGTCAAAACGACTGAAGGGATCGAGATGAAATGTGGAATATGGGTAAATTATGGTCTGAAATAACATATAGGCCAATTGTTATCTCACTGGAACACGAGCGAAGCCGCTGGCAGAAGCTAGTGCTTAATATTTGCATTGTTGTATAGTACGGCGGTGGCGTTGGTGGAGTGGGTGGGGTCGGCGGCGGCGCGAGCGGTGCCGTGGGAGGCGTGGGCGGAGTGGCGGGCGTCGGCGGTGTCGCGGGACAGGGCGCCGGCCTCGTCAACGGAGCCTCCGTCGTACAACAGGCGCCCGACTCCACGCAACATCACCAACCGTTCGACGTACAGGTCAGTGTCACATAGTTAACATAGCTTCCTGTTCACCGGACCCAGATTGTGCTCACTGTCGTTACTGATGTCAACGGTACAACATGGATAACCAGGTAGTCTCCAGCGTGTTGGAAAACTTAGATATATTTAAAGATTTAGTGTTTCATACAAGTAAAAACTTAAAGTTAAGACAAAGATGCTTCGTCTATCATTTGTAACCAGAATCCTTTTAACCTGTATATCTTCTGTGTTACAGTTCTATGTACATTAATAATCTTAAAAAAGTAAAAAATGTGATCTACGTCTATAGATACCAAGGTTACGGTCAGCCACATTAATGTAACAAACAACTGAAACATGTAGTAATAAGATTTGATCATGTCATATTTTCAAAGTCAGTGTGTTATGTATGAAACTTTGCTGACAGTATAACGATGCAATCCATGACAAAAAAGATCCATATTATGTAAAAGTTACGTATCTTATAAATTTTATGTTCAGGACAGGCTCGGTACACTAGCTAACCTCACTGCAACTCCAGTAAGCGAGATTCTTCAGTAGATACCAGCTATAAAAACACCACAACAAGAAGATTAGACCTTCTTAAAAATATTGGCAAAAAAGTAACTAGGAGAAATCTATAAATGTATGCGAAATATTGGATCGATTGACATTTTGGACAGAAATTCAATAAATAAAAAAGAATTTAGTCCGCCTAAGTAAACAGCTTAGCGTGCTAAACGAGTGGTCAACCGAAAAAAGATTCTATTTAAAAATCGGCCAGTGATGAGAAAATGTTCTTCGCGAGGTAGCTGAAATTTCAAAAGCATCTTCATCTTTTAATCAATTCCAATAATGATGAAAAATAATCTAATGCACCGCGACACACAGTTAACCATAAAATTACTGTCCCATGCTGTTTCCATTACGAAATATGTGGACTGCAATTTAGACACCACTGGACAAGCACAATATTATGAGTACCTTTAGTTACAGAATCACAGCACCATAATATTTCAGACAACTGTTGTGGAAAATACAATTCAATACTACATACTTACACTTACATACAAGTTAGCGTTTTGGTCTCAGCCATGATTGTCACACTGTGGGTATAAGGACACTACCCTGTTTCCATCCGCTCTGCCCAATAACTTTCATTCATACTACTAGTTATTATCCGACCTATGTAATATATTGCAAATCAATAAAAAAATCTGTGTCACTTGTGAATTTCAGAATTGACCGACATAAGTTTCGAAATGGTGAAATTTACGCTTAGAGTATAAAGTATAGATTTAGTACACAAGTAATGTGCTATACAACATGCAACTGTTAGTGCAAAATGGATAAGTCTCGAATGATTTCATTGTATGAACATATGCACTTTTTCATAATTGTACACAATAGCAAAATAGGTTTTGGTGTTTACTATTAGAACCAAAGTATATCATTTCTACATAACATCGAAACAAGTTGTAGTAAAAGCTTTAGTTTCAGAAACCTGACTTCAATTTTATTAAATACTACTAGTCCTACGCGGGTTCACCCGCTCTGGTCGGCTCCTATTGATCGTAGCTTGATGTTTTGTATCCTCTAGCCTTCCTCGGTAAATGCACTATCCAACACAAATTCAAATCTGACCAGTAAGTAGTTACGGAGATTAGCGCGTTCAAACAAACTCTTGAGCTTTATATACTGAGTATAAGATGATTAAATCAAAGTTAAATGCATCATGACCGGGTTCATCATCTACAAGGGTTTCGTACCCTAAACGGTGAAAGTTCATCGATGATACGCCGAAGTCTCAAAAATGAAAGTGGTTCAAAGGGTGACACGCATGTCGCGGAGAACGGGTAACCGGGGCTCTGGCTCGACGTGCAGGAGAAGGAACGGGGTGGTTTTTAGTCAGTAAGAGTCTGACACTCCCTTCCGCTTCACCCAGGCAGGAGCAGTCATTCGATGATTTTCCCCCCTTAAAAAAAAGGGTGACACGCATGCAATTTCTTGGTGGCAATTATTCATTGCATAGAGATTGTGGCAAAACCTCTTTTGCAGAGAAGGCCCATAGTCCTGCAGTGGTCTCTTACGGGTTGTTGATGATAAAATAATATAGAACCTAGAATTATATGATGTGTTTGTTTGACTTATTTGAAGTGTTTGGTAATCCAATGTCAAACACACCAAAACAAGCGAAAAGTGAATGTTATATTAATGTTTTGTTATATCCGAGGTTATTAATAAAATATACGTACGTGATTATGCGTTGGTATGTAAAATTAGTAAAAATGTCATCAAGTGTTTTATTAAATCTACTGTAAAACAAAGACAAATGCTAAATGAGCTGATCTTTGCACTAGTATTTACGATACGAGTATTAGCGCTTTCCTAATGATCATTATTTTATTTTACTAGTGTTTTGTTTGTAAGGAGTTGCATCAGTTGGTTAAGTATTGCATACTTGTCGTCTAACAGCTGTTGGTATGTGCTTGTCTGATCAATTTAAATATATCTGACGACATCTTTTTAAGTAAACATACTTGCGCAAGTTCGAGGTTCATTTCATAGGCCGGAGACCCCGACACGCATATGTATAGGTATGCATTTAACTAAACCTCGCACTTAACTATTATATTATTTATTACGCCTTATTTAATTCGAAACCGATTTATATTGGGACACTACAGAAGTAATGTACAGTTAAACTGTAATAATATAATTATTTGAAAATTACATAGGCTCACCCTCTATTACATGGGACTCATAAAATAAATAGTGAAAAGTGGGTGTTGTGTGGTACAGTGGCATTAAGTGCCGTAATATGCACCTCTGCCTACCCCTTCGGGGATAAAAAGGTGTAATATTATGTTATGTTTGTATTTGAAAATTATACATGTACTAAGTACATAGTATTGGTAATTACATATACTTGATATTAAGTCAGTAACAAATACCATTGCAAAAAGAAATAGTTTTCACCTTGAGCGAAGCTATGTACTGTGCAGTCTCAAGATTTATCTAATCTTTGTCTGAATTTCCCTAAAATGCTAACAATATTTTTTCTTGTACCAGACAGTTTTTAAGTCATGTAAACAGTAACACTAAAGGTTTCACTTTTGCTCACTAGTTGGCATTATTGTCGGCTTATTCAATTAACTGTTTCTACTCGACGTAAAGTTTGAGACATTCTTTGATGAAGTTTAAATTCGTTCATTTTAAGCTCAAATGCTTGTGCAATGTGCGGTCAATCTTGTCTTTCTCAATAACATTAATTGTAATGTAAGGAACTTGTTTAATAACTTTATCTGCTATTATGTATTATGTTAATTGACAAAAATTGAAATGGATCATTGGACGTGTTTTGGCACTATTCATTTACGACTTATTTTGAGACGATTGAATATATTTGTTTTACCGATTAATGCTTCGTTGGTTGCTACAACCTACAACATCTCGTGTTTCATCTTGGGCAAGTCTACTGTGAGATTACGTAATCTAGTAGTATAAAGTACTCTAATAACATTGTGTTTTAAATAAAATACTTAAAAAGAACTAGAATGCTTCCCAATCTAGGAAATATGTTCGTTTCTACTTACCATTTCAGTGCATAAATGGCCTGATTTTGTTACGTATTCTGGTTATGCGCGTAT